TATTATCACAGATGATCTGATAAATCTTGTTAAAATTTGTACTTCAATGTAACCTTGTTCCAATCAGAGTAAATGTACTTACATGTACAAAAAAAATGAAATTCACTTTTGTACTTATTCAAGTCCAAAATAACCATATGATCAAAAAGACAAAACAAAAAAAAGAATGAAACCTTTTGCAATTTTTAGAATTATCACAGTAAATCAGATTAATCTTATAAAAATTTGGACTGCAATGCAACCTTGCTCCAAGCAGAGTAAATGTACTTACAAAAAGAATAAAATTCATTTTCAGACTTATTCAAGTCCAAATTGGACACACTTGTTATGGTTTTAGTTTTTCATAACACAGAATTTCACAGGCCTCAAATCCTGTCTTTGAAATCTCAATCTCTTGCGTAAATATGTATGTATTACCCATAATTTGGACTTAAAAGATTTTTTGCAAGTCTATATAATATTGGTAGCAATATGTTAAATTGAGTATTTCTACTTAAAGTATTATCAGTGTTCTCCCCAGGCCCTTAAAGGACCGCGGGCCCGCGATGTATAATTTTTGACCGTGGTGATATCAGTCTTACCGCGATGTATAATTTTTTACCGTGGTGCTAAAATTTTCAGTAAAAAAAAATCGTAAATCGGTAAAGTTTTAAGCGATTTGTTAAATCTTTTCAGTGCGGTATAAAATTCCAGGTGAAATTTGACCAGTTCAAACCAGTTTACCCAGATTGATGACACCACATGATCGATTTACCTTATGAGGTTAACCTTGTTGATTGGATTTAATCTATGTAATTAACACTTGTTACATTTCCTTTGTGTTTTAATTAGGAGTTCATAACTTTATGATCACTAATAACTATTTTATGGCTTCACTCACAACCCAAGCGCTGACCTGTGACAAGTCTGCAAATATTTTGTACACATACAGTGTGAACCCGGTAGTTGCACACACGCCTGTACATTTTTTGTACATAATAAAGTTGGTGCATTAGTATAGTATAATATGTCTGATTAAACCATGGCCAAAATTTTCTTTAATTATGACATAGTTAGTGCATGATATCGGGTTTCAAACTATAGTATCTGTGAAAGGGATGGACATATGTACATATCACATGACCCAGTTAGTTCACGTAGAATATTAAAGTTTATTTGCAATTAATTGCAATCTATTCTAAATTTGGATATTTTCTCAAAAATTGGCATTTTCTGTGGAAAAACAAGTGTTTCAAAGACAAATTTAGGAAGAACAAAACACTAGATTTATACATGATATCACAAATATTTCCGACTTTGTATGGTTTCAGAGGATTTGGGGCTTAATGAAATCAGTCTCTTCCTTTAGTAGTATAGATTCCTTCTAAATGTTATCAATCCCACATACTAAGTGTCAAAAATATTCATTTGTACAAGCACACAAAAGTCAACTGGTTTTTTCTTTGGGTTTAGGATTCATATGGCCCAAAATGTTAAAATCCTAGACGTCTTCCAAAATTGCACACATTTAAATGATGATCGCGGGCAAGATTGTAAATTCTATCATGAACATGATGAAAGAAAAGCTTTTTGGAAAACGGTATCTCAATTTAACAAAAAATTCTAATGGATTAAACTAAACCCTGTTTTTTATGTCCTTCAATTTTCAACTTTGTATTTGATTCGACTTTCTTACTGTTTTGATTCATGTGCCACTGATGAGTTTTATGTAGCATTTCTAGCGTACCGAATTATAAGTTCCATACATTTTTTATACATGAGATTTTGCTACTCATGCTTCTGTATCTTCTGTCAGCATGAAATAATCAACCTTTTTCTTCTGATGCATTTCTTGATTATGTCCACTGTTCATTTAATACATTAAACATGTTTAAAGAAATTTTGATGACTGAGATATAAATACTAGCTATTCATTGATGTCTTGTTAAAAAAAAGCTATTCATCATGTTCATTGATGTCTAAATTACTTTGCCCCATTACAAATAACTGAGTACATATTTAATTTCTCCGTAAAATACTAAAATAAAATGCTTCGCTGGGGCGCAGCTTGATACGACCGCAGAGGTCGTACCCTGAACAGTTGGGGCAAGTATGGACACAAAATTCAAGCTTGATACAGCTATGACTTTGGATTGTCATTAAATATTTGACACAGCATAGGTTTCTGACACAGGATGAATGTGGTGTAAGAACTGGAAAAAATTTAATTTACCTATTATGGTGGAATATCCATAAACTAAATTGTTTGTTAATTTCAATATATCAAAGAATATGTAGAATTCAATGTTTGATGTAATGTAATAAAGTTGAAATTTGGACCGTTTTTGTTCAATGTGGACCAATTTGGTAACATGTATAAATAATCAAAAACCCAAATACATGGGAGCCCATTTAAATACATCATAAAGGTATTAAAATAGAAAGTGACATCATAGTCATGGCTAAAAATAAACAAAAATCCTTAATCAGCAACATTTAAAGTAATATCTAAAAATAAAATTCCTTTGTAACCATAAAAGCCCATTTAAATACATCATAAAGATATTAAAATAGAAAATGACATCATAGTCATGGCTAAACATAGCAAAAAACCCTTAATCAGCATCATTTAACAGTAATATCTAAAAATGGAAATTACATCATAAAGGTATTAAAATAGAAAATGACATCATAGTCATGGCTAAAAATAAACAAAATCCTTAATCAGCATCAGCAACATTTTATAGTAATATCTAAAAATAAAATTCCTTTGTAACAATAAAAGCCCATTTAAATACATCATAACAGATATTAAAATAGAAAATGACATCATAGTCATGGCTAAACATAGCAAAAACCTTAATCAGCATCATTTAACAGTAATATCTAAAAATAAAAATTTCTTTGCAACCATAAAAGTAAAATAGAAAATGACATCATAATCATAGCTAAAAATAAACAAAAATTTTTTTTATTGGCAAATTTTAAATGGGGTTTATTATACTAAAACAATAAATTTGCAACCATAAACATGATAAAACCCCATTTAAACACATCATAAAAGTATTAAATAATTCAACTACATCATAAGGCTATAAAAATAGAAAATGACTTCATAGTCATGGCTAAAGGTAAACAAAAAACCTTCATCAGCAAAATTTTATATTGGCAAATTTCCAATGAAGTTTATTACACTAAAATTGTTGGCAAATTTCCAATGCATTTATTAACAATAAAGTTATTGGCAAATTTCCAATTTACATAATTTAAAAGCAGTGTAGATGAGATATTTAAATGAGTTTGAATTACCAACCTTACACTGCTTTTAAATAATGTTCTTTACTCAATTATTTGTCTATTAAAATGGAAACCCTTGTTTTTTAACCTTTTTTCCCCTTATTCCTTAAACATTAGAGCCATAACCCCCCCCCCCCCCCCCCCAAAGCCAATTATTACTTTCCAATGTAACCTAAATTTCCAATATACATAATTTTAAATTTCAATTCCTCATGATATATAACCGTATCATTATTATTTTCTTTCATATATAAATCTGAAACAACCATCTTTAAATGGAAAATTTTAAAGAAAAAAAAATGAAAAAAAAAAATCCTACCTCCCACACATTTTTTCAACCCCCTTTTGATTCATCATCCCCCACCTCAATCACAACCTTCAATTTGTGGTATGGTACATTGCAATACAATTTCACAGAGATCCATACACTTGAACACAAGTTTTTGTTGCAAACTAAAAAAATCCTTATTTTTGACCAATATTTGGCCCCTTATTCATAAATGTTTGAGCAATTAACCCCAAAACTCAATTCCTACTTTCTCTTCGTGATAAAAAATAACTAACTTAAAATGTAAATTTTAAACAAAAAAAAAAGGAAAAAAAAAAAATTACCCCTTTTTTGACCCCCGCCCCCCTTATGATTCATCACCCCCACCCCCCTTTCCCCCCAAACCAAGCTCAATAACAGCCTTGCCTTTGTGGTATGGTACCTTGTAATACAATTTTAGAGAGATCCATACACTTGAACACAAGTTATTGTCTAGAAACTAAAAAATGCTTATTTTAAACCCCTTTTTAGGCCCCTTATTAATAAACGTTTTGGGCAATTACCACAACACTCAATTCCAGCTTTCCCTTTGTGAAATGGAACCTTGTAGTAAAATTTCAGAAAGATCCATACACTTACACACAAGTTATTGTCATGAAACTAGAAAAATGCTTGTTTTTTGCCCCCTTTTGGCCCCTTATTCCTAAAATTTTGAGGCAATTAACCCCAAAATCAATCCCAGCATTGACCCTTTGTGATATGGAATCTTGTGGTACAATGTCAAAGAGATCCATATGCTAACACACAAGTTATGTCTGGAAGTTACAAAAATGCTTATTTTCGGCCCCTTTTTGGCCCCTAATTCCTTAACTGTTGGTACCATAACCCCCAAAATCAATCCCCACCTTCCTATTGTGGTATTGAACCTTATGGTAAAATTTCATAGAGATCTATTCACTTAAACTAAAGTTAGAGTGCGAAAACCATTGTGTATTCGGACGACGACGCCGGACGACGACGACGACGCCAACGTCATACCAATATACGACCTCAAAATTTTTTTGCGGTCGTATAAAAATTACATTAAAATTTGTTTTTTACCTTCAAAATTTTGCCCTTTTGATCAAATTTACCCAATCCAGGTAGTACAATAAAATTCTATGAAATTTGGAAAATTCAAATTAATGGAGTGATCGAAGTGATCTTAATATAAATAGATATAAGAAGAAGTGGTATGAGTGCCAATGAGACAACTCTCCATCATAGTCAAAATTTATAAAAGTAAACCATTATAGGTCACAGTACGGTCTTCAACACGGAGCCTTGGCTCATACCGAACAGTAAGCTATAAAGGGCCCCAAAAATTACTAGTGTAAAACCATTCAAACGGGAAAACCAACGGTCTTATCTATATAAAAAAACGAGAAATGAGAAACACTTATGAACCACATCAACAAAAATAAAATGCTTCGCTGGGCGCAGCTTGATACGACCGCAGAGGTCGAACCCTGAACAGTTGGGGCAAGTATGGACACAACATTCAAGCTTGATACAGCTCTGAATTTGGATTGTGATTAAATATTTGACACAGCATAGGTTTCTGACACAGAAAGAATGTGGTCTAAGAACTTCAATTTTTTTAATTTACCTATTATGGTCCAATGTCCAAAATCAAAATACATGGTTAGATTCAGCATATCAAAGAACCCCATATATTCAATTTTTGTTGAAATCAAACAAAGTTTAATTTTGGACCCCAACTTGGACAAACTTGAAAACTGGTCCCATAATCAAAAATCTAAACACATGTTTAGATTCAGCATATCAAAGTACCCGAAGAATTCAATTTTTGTTAAAATCAAACTAAGTTTAATTTTGGACCCTTTGGACCTTAATGTAGACAAATTTAAAAAACGGGACCCAAAATTAAAAATCTAAAAACACGGTTAGATTTGGCATATCAAAGAACCCCAATTATTCAATTTTTGATGAAATCAAACAAAGTTTAATTTTGGACCCTTTTGACCTCAATATGAACCAATTTGATAGCGGGCCCACAAATAAAAAATCTAAATACATGGTAAGATTCAGCATATCAAAGAACCCCATATATTCAATTTTTGTTGAAATCAAACAAAGTTTAATTTTGGACCCCAATTTGGACCAACTTAAAAACTGGTCCCATAATTAAAAATCTAAACACATGTTTAGATTCAGCATATCAAAGAACCCCAAAAATTCAATTTTTGTTAAAATCAAACTAAGTTTAATTTTGGACCCTTTGGACCTTAATGTAGACCAATTTAAAAAACAGGACCCAAAATTAAAAATCTAAATACACAGTTAGATTTGGCATATCAAAGAACCCCAATAATTCAATTTTTTATGAAATCAAACAAAGTTTAATTTTGGACCCTTTTGACCTCAATATGAACCAATTTGATAGCAGGCCCACAAATAAAAAATCTAAATACATGGTAAGATTCAGCATATCAAAGAACCCCATGTATTCAATTTTTGTTGAAATCAAACAAAGTTTAATTTTGGACCCCAATTTGGACCAACTTGAAAACTGGGCCAAAAATCTAAAATCTAAATACATGTTTAGATTTTGCATATCAAATAACCCCATATATTCAATTTTTGTTGAAATCAAACAAAGTTTAATTTTGGACCCCAACTTGGACCAACTTGAAAACTGGGCCCATAATCAAAAATCTAAACACATGTTTAGATTCAGCATATCAAAGAACCCCAAGAATTCAATTTTTGTTAAAATCAAATTAAGTTTAATTTTGGACCCTTTGGACCTTAATGTAGACCAATTTAAAAAACGGGACCCCAAATTAAAAATCTAAATACACGGTTAGATTCGGCATATCAAAGAACCCCAATAATTCAATTTTTGATGAAATCAAACAAAGTTAAATTTTGGACCCTTTGGACCTCAATGTGGACCAATTTAAAAACGGGGCCCAAAATCCAAAAACTTAATACACGGTTAGATTCAGCATATTAAAGAACCCCAAGAATTCAAGAATAAAACCCCATTGAAATTGATCAAGAAATAAGCAATTTATACGAAGTATCTTCTTTTGCACAACACTGTGCAATTGAATATTTCTTGCTATTGCGCAATACTGTACAATTGACAATTTCTTGCTATTGCGCAATATTGTGCTATTGGATATTTCTTGCTATTGCGCAATACTGTGCAATTGAAGATTTCTTGCTATTGCGCAATACTGTGCAATTGAAGATTTCTTGCTATTGTGCAATACTGTGCAATTGAAAATTTCTTGCTATTGCACAATACTTATTATATAATAATTTACACATCCTGTTTGGTGTGTATCTCCTAACATATCATTATTATTTGCTTTTAAATATAAATCAGAAATAATCAACTTAAAATGGAAAATTTTAAAAGAAAAAAAAAGGAAAAAAAGAAAAAAAAAAAAAAAAAAATCTCCCCCCCCAAATTTTTTGAACCCCCTTATGATTCATCACCCCCAAACTCAATCCCAGCCTTCCCTTTGTGGTATGGTACCTTGCAGTACAATTTCAGAGAGATCCATACACTTGAACACAAGTTATTGTCTGGAAACTAGAAAAATGCTTATTTTTGGCCCCTTTTTGGCCCCCAATTCCTAAACGTTTCGGGCAATTACCCCCAAACTCAATTCCAGCTTTCCCTTTGTGATATGGAACCTTGTAGTACAATTTCAGAAATATCCAAACACTTACACACAAGTTATTGTCATGAAACTAGAAAAATGCTTGTTTTTTGCCCCTTTTTTGGCCCCTAATTCCTAAAATTTTGAGGCAATTACCCCCAAAATCAATTACAGCCTTCCCTTTGTGATATGGAACCTTGTGGTACAATGTCAGAGAGATCTATACACTTACACACAAGTTATTGTCTGAAAATTACAAAAATGCTTATTTTTGGCCCCTTTTTGGCCCCTAATTCCTTAACTGTTGGTACCATAACCCCCAAAATCAATCCCAACCTTCCTTTCGTGGTATTGAACCTTATGGTGAAATTTCATGGAGATCCATTCACTTAAACTAAAGTTAGAGTGCGAAAACCAATGTGTCTTCGGACGACGCCAGACGACGCCGGACGCCGGACGACGACGACGACGACGACGACGACGACGACGACGACGACGCCAACGTCATACCAATATACGACCAAAAAATTTTTAATTTTTGCGGTCGTATAAAAACCATAAAGACTGGAATATTCGGGATGCCCTGTATGACATTATGGCACTTCTTACTGCAAACAAAACATTCCTGTTCAAAACCATCATGCAGTTCAACACCACCGTAAATTGACTTCAAAATTTCTAATAGTTATATCGATTTCACTGTGAATCTTCTGAATATTTCGTCTGCATTCCTTCGCTAAATTCTTCTGTTCAAACACGTGTGTACACTGAAAACACGTTTCGTGCTCCATTGCACATGTTTACAAACAATTTTAAACTCCTCCTTTTTTCGCGCCATACTTCAGGATACATTGATCCCATGATGCAGCTTATTTTTAATTTCCGGTTGACCAACGTTAATGGAGTGATCGAAGTGATCGTAATATGACGACTGGATTATTTGGGTTACGGAATTCCCTCTCTGACGTGATTCTAAATATATAAAGCCCTAAATATAAATACTGCTTAATTCTGATTTTCCGTATTGGAAGATAAACACAAATGAAATAAAATGCTGATGTACATATTTAATTTCTCCGTAAAATACTAAAATAAAATGCTTCGCTGGGGCGCAGCTTGATACGACCGCAGAGGTCGAACCCTGAACAGTTGGGGCAAGTATGGACACAACATTCAAGCTTGATACAGCACTGAATTTGGATTGTAATTAAATATTTGACACAGCATAGGTTTCTGACACAGAATAAATGTGGTCTAAGAACTTAAAACTTTTTTAATTTATCTATTCAAACCATATCATTATTATTTGCTTTTATATATAAATCAGAAATAACCAATTTGAAATGGAAAATTTTAAAGAAAAAAGAGGAAACCCCCCCCCCCCCCCCCAATTTTTTGAACCCCCTTATGATTCATCACCCCCAAACTCAATCCCAGCCTTCCCTTTGTGGTATGTTACCTTGCAGTACACATACATGTGATGGACTGTGAAACTAAGATCAGGAGTTTGGGAAATTAGGACTCAGATCAGGAGGTTTTTAATCGACATAAATTCTGTCGTAAATGTAACCGTGTGCTGTAGAAATTGTCTGTTAAAGTGTGTTTTCTTCAACTTTCCATCCGAATGTATTATGTTTATAGTACCCTCATGACCCTTGTACTTATAGATTTTCTCTATCTTTTTAAATTTTCAACTTGTTCAATCTAACATTCTTCTTTTTTAGTATGTTCTTTAAATTTTTTAGGTCATATCTTTTTTACCATTATTCATTGCAATCAGAACATTTGCTTATCTATCTGCAAGTAGATCATTTATTTATATCTTTATGCAAGTAAATTTTTAATGTATGATAAGTAACTCATTGAAACTTTAATCATGGGTCATAGTTAATATATAAATTTCAATTTAAGCCTTGAAAGGAAGTATAGAACCCTCAAATAATTTTCAAATTATTATTTTTTTATTTGTCCTAAGACATTTAAAATCATTTAATTACCATCCTTTTATGATTATTTGTTCAATTTATATTTTATTTATATTCTTTTAAAAATTTACATTATTTAAAGGAAAGTAACTTAAAACAGGATAAATCAAGGGAGTAACCCAACATTCATTTTAAATAAACAAAGTTTTATTACACAACGGCAGTTAGCCTGAGGTAAAAATCGTTGATTACCAGTATGTTTGACACCCAAGGTGACAAGTGAAGCCATATAATTATGCATGTTAATTGATTTACAGGTAAAATATAACTTCAGTAATGTCAGTTACACCAGATATGTTGGGCTGAAATTTTTCATTCATGAAATATTTCATACACCGGATTTTTTTGTCTTCAACGGGAGGTCGGGAGGAGACCCCTGAAAACGGGATTATTGTACTCCCGTCGGGAGGTTCACATGTATGACTGTACAATTTCAGAGAGATCCATACACTTGAACACAAGTTATTGTCTGGAAACTAGAAAAATGCTTGTTTTTTGGCCCCTTTTTGGCCCCAAATTCCTAAACATTTAGGGCAGTTACCCCCAAACTCAAACCCAGCTTTCTCTTTGTGATATGGAACCTTGCAGTACAATTTCATAAAGATCCATACACTTACACACAAGTTATTGTCCTGAAACTAGAAAAATGCTTGTTTTTTTGCCCCTTTATGGCCCCTCATTCCTCAAATTTCTAGGGAATTACCCCCAAAATCAATCCCAGCATTCCCTTTGTGGTATGGTACCTTGCAGTACAATTTCAGAGAGATCCATACACTGGAACACAAGTTATTAACTGGAAACTAGAAAAATGCTTACTTTTGGCCCCTTATTCCTAAACGTTGTGGGCAATTAACCCAAAAATCAATTCCAGCTTTCCCTTTGTGATATGGAACCTTGTAGTACAATTTCATAAAGATCCATACACTTGAACACAAGTTATTGTCATGAAACTAGAAAAATGCTTGTTTTTTTGCCCCTTTTTGGCCCCCAATTCCTAAAATTTGGAGGCAATTACCCCCAAAATCAATCCCAGCATTCCCTTTGTGATACGGAACCTTGTGGTACAATGTCAGAGAGATCCATACACTTACACACAAGTTATTGTCATGAAACTAGAAAAATGCTTGTTTTTTGCCCCTTTTTGGCCCCTAATTCCTAAAATTTGGAGGCAATTACCCCCAAAATCAATCCCAGCATTCCCTTTGTGATATGGAACCTTGTGGTACAATGTCAGAGAGATCCATACACTAACACACAAGTTATGTCTGGAAGTTACAAAAATGCTTATTTTTGGCCCCTAATTCCTTAACTGTTGGTACCATAACCCCCAAAATCAATCCCCACCTTCCTTTTGTGGTATTGAACCTTATGGTAAAATTTCATAGAGATCCATTCACTTAAACTAAAGTTAGAGTGCGAAAACAAATGTGTCTTCGGACGAAGACGCCGGACGACGATGACGACGACGACGCCAACGTCATACCAATATACGACCACAAAATTTTTTTGCGGTCGTATAAAAAGGAGATATCAAAACAGGAGGATTATGAGAAGAAATTTAACAGAATGTTGTTTAAATTCAATCTCTTGTTTGTTTTTACTTTTTATAACAGGACAATCTTAAGAATCTGAGTTGTTCCTATTAATGTTAACACAAAACGGTTGACGTGAGAGTCTTGGAAGGGAGTCAATGGTAAAAATCTACAGATTGCCTGACGGCACTCGTATCCAAAAAATTAAATTCATTTTTAGACTTATTCAAGTCCAAAATATACCATATGAATAAAAAGACCAAATAAAAAATATTTTTGGAATAATCACAGAAAATCCAATAAATGATAATCTTACAAAAATTTGAACTTCAATGCAACATGAAACTGCTCCAAGCAGAGTACTCACAAAAAGAATAAAATTTATTTTCAAACTTATTCAAATCCAAGATAACCATATGGAAAAAAAATTGGAAACGAAAGCTTTGGACGCATGAAATTTATAACGTGTTGTTTTCAATTTTATAATATTATCATAGACGATCTTATTAATATTTGTACTTCAATACAACCTTGCAAATTTGCTCCAAGTAGAGTACTCACTAGCTGTGGAACCTTAGCTCTAAGGTCCTTATGAAATTTTTTGACAAATTGTCAAAAAATATTAATATCATAGGGACCAAATTGTCAAAAAATATCATAAGGACCAATCCTTTGCGTAAATATGCATGTATATTACCATAAATTTGGACTTAACTTTTTGCAGGTAGGTCTATATATAATATTGGCGATATATAATTATTTTTTTTATTTCGACTTGTGCAGTTGGATTAAAGTATTCGACAAATATCAATTATATTACCATAAATCTAGCCGTCTATAATAATAACCATTTTGTGTTCCACTGTTTATTATCCTTGAAATAATCAAAAGTCAGGGCTGATATGCATAAAACCACTTAAGTTAAGATATCCAATCGTAGGACATGTAGAAAAATCTGTCCGTTCAGAACAAATCTTAACTTAAGTAGCTGTATGCATACGGGCCCTGAGTTAAAAAAAAATGCCTTGAAAATCTTATGATGTTTAGAAAGGGTCCACACAATATCACTTATTTTGACTTGTACAAGTCGCAATCTAAACACAAGGACATTCACAAAATCACAAAATGTAGTAAAACAATGTTCAAAATTATGCTATCACCTTTGGATCCCTTTGGGCAATAACTTATCAGTTATTTCCATAATTTATTACTGAATATAAATATAAATATATAACAGATTTATTAAACGAGTCTTTCTTTAAAATTTGTATCTATCTTTTGCAATATTTTTATTTCTCAGCTACATGTTCTGTGAAATTCTTACACCAATGTTGAAATGATCCGTGCCCCAACTTGCCTTGAAATCATAAAAAAAACCACACAACTTCTCTCCTTTCCCCTTTAATCTGTTGAAAAATCCATTGGGAAACATACAATCTTTAATGCAGCCTTTCTTCGATCAGAAGTTGTGAAAAATTATTTTTACATGTTACGACAGATAAAATGTATTTATCATTATCAGTATCGTTGTGGAATTTGTTTAAGAACTTTACAGCAAACGAAACACACATCGCCGAAACCAACATGAGTTGTCTCCCTAAATTACGGATAAATAACACTCAAAACATTTATTGACCTATAGAACGAGAAAGTTGTCTGCGGGTAGGTGACTTCAAACGTCACGCGCATCAATTTGGAAGTCACGCGCCTTGATGGCACTGACAAAATATCGTTTACTTAATACCCCTTCATCTGCAAAAAATGTGTATAACAACCTAAATAAAATGCTCCGCTGGGGCGCAGCTTGATACGACCGCAGAGGTCGAACCCTGAACAGTTGGGGCAAGTATGGACACAACATTCAAGCTTGATACAGCACTGAATTTGGATTGTAATTAAATATTTGACACAGCATAGGTTTCTGACACAGAATGAAAGTGGTCTAAGAACTTAAAAATTTTCAATTTACCTATTCATACATGTGATGGACTGTGAAACTCAGATCAGGAGATTGGGAAATTTTGGTCAGGAGATTAGGACTCAGATCAGGAGGTTTTTAATCGACATTAATTTTGTTGTAAATGTAACCGTGTGCTGTAAAAATGGTCTTTTAAAGTGTGTTTTCTTCAACTTTCCATCCAATTTATTATGTTTATAGTACCCTTGTACTTATAAAGTTTCTCCATCTTTATATTCTACATGTTCAATCTAACATTGTATTTTTCCAGTATGTTCTTTAAATTTTTTACTTCATATTCTATAAAACAATCATTGCAACCAGAACATTTGTTTAGCTATCTGCAAGTAGTTTTTATTTATTTTTTTTCTCTTGCAAATAGTTTTTATTTGCAAACTCAGAAAATCATTTTACCTGTAAAATTGGGTCATAGTTATTATATAAATTTCAATTTAAGCCTTGAAAGGAAGTCTAGAATCCTCAAATAATTTTCAAATTATTATTTTTTTATTTGTCCTAAGACATTTAAAATCATTTAATAACCATCCTTTTATGATTATTTGTTCAATTTATATTTTATTTATATTCTTTTAAAAATTTTCATTATTAAAAGGAAAGTAACTTAAAACAGGATAAATCAAGGGAAGTAACCCAATAAATACACAGTTTTTGTTACACAACGGCAGTTAGCCTGAGGTAAAAAACGTTGATTACCTGTATGTTTGACACCCAAGCTGACAAGTGAAGCCATATAATTATGCATGTTAATTGATTTACAGGTAAAATATAACTTCAGGTAATGTCAGTTACACCAGATGCCTGAGATGATATGTTGGGCAGAAATTTTTCATTCATGAAAAATTTCATGCACGGGATTTTTTCCTCTTCAACGGGAGGTCGGGAGGAGACCCCTGATTACGGGATTATTGTACTCCCGTCGGGAGGTTCACATGTATGCCTATTCAAACCATATCATTATTATTTGCTTTTATATATAAATCAGAAATAACCAATTTAAAATGGAAAATGTTAAAGAAAAAAAAGGAAAAAAAAATCCCCCCCCCCCCCCCAATTTTTTGAACCCCCTTATGATTCATCACCCCCAAACTCAATCCCAGCTTTCCCTTTGTGGTATGGTACCTTGCAGTACAATTCCAGAGAGATTCATACACTTGAACACAAGTTATTGTCTGGAAACTAGAAAAATGCTTGTTTTTTGGCCCCTTTTTGGCCCCAAATTCCTAAACGTTTAGGGCAATTACCCCCAAACTCAATTCCAGCTTTCCCTTTGTGATATGGAACCTTGCTGCAGTACAATTTCATAAAGATCCATACACTTACACACAAGTTATTGTCCTGAAACTAGAAAAATGCATGTTTTTTTTGCCCTTTATGGCCCCTAATTACTAAAATTTTGAGGGAAAACCCCCAAAATCAATCCCAGCCTTCCCTTTGTGATATGGAACCTTGTAGTACAATTTCATAAAGATCCATACACTTACAAACAAGTTATTGTCATGAAACTAGAAAAATGCTTGTTTTTTGCCCCTTTTTGGCCCCTTATTCCTAAAATTTGGAGGAAATTACCCCAAAAATCAATCCCAGTATTCCCTTTGTGATATGGAACCTTGTAGTACAATTTCATAAAGATCCATACACTTACAAACAAGATATTGTCATGAAACTAGAAAAATGCTTGTTTTTTGCCCCTTTTTGGCCCCCAATTCCTAAAATTTGGAGGCAATTACCCCCAAAATCAATCCCAGCATTCCCTTTGTGATATGGAACCTTGTGGTACAATGTCAGAGAGATCCATACACTTACACACAAGTTATGTCCGGAAGTTACAAAAATGCTTATTTTTGGCCCCTTTTGGCCCCTAATTCCTTAACTGTTAGTACCATAACCCCCAAAATCAATCCCCACCTTCCTTTTGTGGTATTGAACCTTATGGTAAAATTTCATTGAGATCCATTCACTTAAACTAAAGTTAGAGTGCGAAAACTAATGTGTATTCGGACGACGACGCCGGACGACGACGACGACGACGACGCCAACGTCATACCAATATACGACCACAAAAATTTTTTTGCGGTCGTATAAAAATCAGAGAAGAACTGTGCAACAGTTCCAAAACGTACTGAAATCACCCTAGTTTTACCGCTAAATCGATAAAAATCAATGCTGTACTCAATGACTTTTCCGTTACAGTTCGTTTTTTAATAATGGAGTCGGTCACTGTGAAGTCTTGTTAAAAATCGCAGGATCATAGATAGCGTCATAAAGCGGCAAATTCAAAAAAACCTCCGTATCTGAACATGTAGGGCAAAACAGAAACTGACGCAAACAAGTCTAAATTTGATTTCTTGATATTTACATTTTTTGACTTGTAGGAGTCAAAACATGTTTAGACTTGTAAGTGTCTGAGCTCTGACTGATAATGTAAAGTGTGTTCTCTATTGGAATCTCTGCATATGTAACCTTTTGCGTTAATATCTCTTTTTTACAATAAATAAGTTTCAAGCCAACATGATATGCCATCCAAGACAATAAAAGGCCAAAAAAATAATCAAACATCCATCCTTTTAATGGTGAAATCTATAGTACTGTTTACTACAGATATCATATTAATTTCCTTGCAAGCGTATGAAAAACTTTAAAAAAAATATCAGCTGTTGCAAAAAAAAAGTAGAGGCTCTAAAGAGCCTGTGTCGCTCACCTTGGTCTATGTGCATATTCAACAAAGGACACTCTCCAACATTGTAGATGAGAAAAGAATTCATGACAAAAATCTCTGTTTTGTTGATTTGTATTGCTGATCATTTAGTCTGTTTAGTTTCTCTCTATCTTCTTTAGTTTTTGCTCAAAACACAAAAGAGGGTAAAAAAAATCCTCATTTAAGGGCAATCACTCCTATAAAGAGTGACAGTCTATATAGCTACTAACTATATCGACAAAATTTGACTTGTTAGTAGATCTTGCCTTGCTGATCATTTTTGTGATGTATAAGTGTCTATTTATCTTTTATAATTTTTATCATATAAGGCAAAATGCCAAAAAAATGGTAAAAATGGTCATCAAAGAGCAATAACTCCAATAAGGAGTCATTGGACGATTTCCTACATTTGTTTTAATTGTAGATCTTATCTTCCTGATCATTTTTGCTTATTTAAGTTTCTATCTATCTATTATATTTTTTAAGATATAAGGCAAAAACACAAAAAAATGGTAAAAACCGTCATCAAAGGGCAATAACTTTAATAAGGCGTCAACTGACGATTTCGACCATTTGCAGAACTTGTTTTGCTGGTCATTTTTACAATTTAAAGTTTCTATCTATTATAGTTTTCAAGACAATAGGCAATAAAATGCTTCGCTGGGGCGCAGCTTAATACGACCGCAGAGGTCGAACCCTGAACAGTTGGGGCAAGTATGGACACAACATTCAAGCTTGATACAGCTCTGAATTTGGATTGTTATTAAATATTTGACACAGCATAGGTTTCTGACACAGAAAGAATGTGGTCTAAGAACTTGAATTTTTTTAATTTACCTATTATGGTCCAATGTCCAAAATCAAAATACATGGTTAGATTCAGCATATCAAAGAACCCCATATATTCAAGTTTTGTTAAAATCAAACAAAGTTTAATTTTGGACCCCAACTTGGACCAACTTGAAAACTGGGCCCATAATCAAAAATCTAAACACATGTTTAGATTCAGCATATCAAAGAACCCCAAGAATTCAATTTTTGCTAAAATCAAACTAAGTTTAATTCTGGACCCTTTGGACCTTAATGTAGACCAATTTAAAAAACGGGACTTAAAATTAAAAATCTAAATACATGGTTAGATTTGGAATATCAAAGAACCCCAATAATTCAATTTTTGATGAAATCAAACAAAGTTTCATTTTGGACCCTTTTGACCTCAATATGAACCAATTTGATAGCGGGGCCCACAAATAAAAATTCTAAATTCATGGTTAGATTCAGCATATCAAAGAACCCCATATATTCAATTTTTGTTGAAATCAAAAAAAGTTTAATTTTGGACCCCAACTTGGACCAACTTGAAAACTGGGCCCATAATCAAAAATCTAAACACATGTTTAGATTCAGCATATCAAAGAACCCCAAGAATTCAATTTTTGTTAAAATCAAACTAAGTTTAATTTTGGACCCTTTGGACCTCAATGAAGACCAATTTAAAAAAACGGGACCCAAATTAAAAATCTAAAAACACGGTTAGATTTGGCATATCAAAGAACCCCAATAATTCAATTTTAGATGAAATCAAACAAAGTTTAAATTTGGACCCTTTTGACCTCAATATGAACCAATTTGATAGCGGGGCCTACAAATAAAAAATCTAAATACATGGTTAGATTCAGCATATCAAAGAACCTCATATATTCAATTTTTGTTGAAATCAAACAAAGTTTAATTTTGGACCCCAATTTGGACCAACTTGAAAACTGGGCCCATAATCAAAAATCTAAATACATGTTTAGATTCAGCATATCAAAGAACCCCATATATTCAATTTTTGTTGAAATCAAACAAAGTTTAAATACTGGACCCTATCTTGGACCAACTTGAAAACTGGGCCCATAATCAAAAATCTAAACACATGTTTAGATTCAGCAAATCAAAGAACCCCAAGAATTCAATTTTTGTTAAAATCAAACTAAGTTTAATTTTGGACCCTTTGGACCTCAATGTAGACCAATTTAAAAAACAGGACCCAAAATTAAAAACCTAAATACACGGTTAGATTTGGAATATCAAAGAACCCCAATAATTCAATTTTAGATGAAATCAAACAAAGTTTAATTTTGGACCCTTTTGATCTCAATATGAACCAATTAGATAACGGGGTCCACAAATAAAAAATCTAAATACATGGTTAGATTCAGCATATCAAAGAACCCCATATATTCAATTTTTGTTGAAATCAAACAAAGTTTAATTTTGGACCCCAATTTGGACCAACTTGAAAACTGGGCCAAAAATCAAAAATCTAAATACATGTTTAGATTCAGCATATCAAAGAACCTCATATATTCAATTTTTGCTAAAATCAAACAAAGTTTAATTTTGGACCCTTTGGACATTAATGTAGACCAATTTGAAAACTGGACCCAAAATTAAAAATCTAAATACACTGTTAGATTCGGCATAACAAATAAATAAATGTGATCAAAGATTTTACAAATCTAATGCGCCATACTGTGCAATTAAAGATTACTTCTTGAAATTTTTCAATATTTGAAATTTGAAAAAAAAATAATATTTGAAGAATAATTCTTTTTAATTTCTGAAATCTGAAATGAGAAAAAATTGACCCCCCACAATTTCTTTTTATCCCCCCCCCCCTTTTTCCCCCAAAAAAATTCTTTCCCTCAAGATATGGTTATAATCTCAATTCAAATTTCCAATGGAGTTGGCAACCATAATTACCCATTTAAATTTACCATAGTGCTAACTTAATCTATTTTCTTTAAACATAATTTAAAAGCAGTGTAAGGGAAGTAACCAAAATGTTGTATTTGGATTACCTCCCTTACACTGTTTTAGATTATCTTTATTGTTCATTAACCATTACTTTATACATAATTTAAAAGCAGTGTAAGGGAGATAATTTCAATGATGTATTTGATTTATCTCCCTTACACTGCTTTAAATTATGTTTTGTACTAAAGTATTTGTCCATTAACCAGGACAACCTTGTTTTTCCCCCTTTTTTGCCCCTAATTCCTAAACGGTTTGAGCCATAACCCCCCAAAGCAAATCCTAACCATCCCTTTGTGGTATGGAAACTTGTAGTATAATTTCAGAGAGATCCATACACCGTTCCACAGTTATTGTCTGGAAACTAGAAAATGCTCATTTTTGGCCCCTTTTTGGCCCCTAATTCCTTAACTGTTGGTACCATAACCCCCAAAATCAATCCCAACCTTCCTTTTGTGGTATTTAACCTTATGGTCAAATTTCAAAAAGATCCATTCACTTAAACTAAAGTTGGAGTGCGAAAACCAATATGTATTCGGACGACGACGCCGGACGACGACGACGACGACGACGACGACGACGCCAACGTCATACCAATATACGACCACAAAATTTTTTTGCGGTCGTATAAAAATGAAAAAAAATTGGTAAAATTTGTCATTTAAGGGCAATAACTCCTGTAAGAAGTTGTCTGTGAGTTTTGACGTATATGAACAATTGGTAGAGCTGAACATCCTGAACATTTTTGCCCCGTCAGATTTTCTCTATTTAGAACTGTTTTCAAAATAATAGACAAAACTTAAATTTTACCCCTATGTTCTATTTTTAGCCATGTGGGCCATCTTGGTTGGCAGACGGGGTCATCGGACACATTTGTTAAACTATATACCCAATGATGATTGTGGCCAAGTTTGGTTAAATTTGGCCCAGTTGTTTCAGAGAAGAAGATTTTTGTAAAAGTTAACAACAACGGACGACGGGCCAGGTGAGCTAAAAATGACTCAAGTTGAAGTTATACATGGCAAATCTTGGGTAGAGTAACCTGAAGGTAAATCTTAGGTAGAGTAACCTGAAGCAAGCAGTTTCACCTGTCAGAGCAATATTGATTTCAATAACAACAGTTTAAATAGCTCAAAGTAAAATAAATAAAATATACAAATTTCAAGAAAATTAGGTTAAAAGTGAAAGTGTAAATGACTGTTGACTGATAACTGTATGTTTTTTCAGTGTTTTTTTCTTTCTCAAAAGAACTTTTTTTTTTTAACACCATTATTAATACAAATAAGTACATCAGAACTAATTTTACAAACTATGTTAAAAGCTTTTCATACCTAAACATGTTGTTTTGTCGCCCTGTAATCTAAATCCATCATAACAACTGCATGTGTAACTGCCAGCACTATTGGTACACACCTGTGGACACATGGCCACACTATTACTGCATTCATTTATATCTGTAAAATAAAATTAAATACTATCTTCAAATCACACGAGTAAATAATTTTTGATTGTGACTGAATACTAGAATTGAGCAAATCTTACCTGTAGATTCCTGTTCATGTATATAATAAAGTGGGAATTAGAGTTTATTTGAAATATAATTGTCTATTACCAAATTTCAAAATTCTTATTGCATTTATACCAGTTTTGATCAACTGCACTTTGATTAAATTATTGTGTGTGTTTTCCATGAAATCTATTTAAATATCATATTCACAGTTCTTCTTCAAATAATAGGAAAAACAGATTCTACCTCTTTACCCCATTTTTTATGATTTTATCACGATAATTTTAAATCTTTAACTTTTATAACTATCTAAAGAAAAAATTGTGTTGTAAAATCTTAATTTTTCATTCATTTAAAATGCCTCTGACCAGTTGAAATAATTTCTGATAAACCAAATAATGTCCTGCTAAATCTTTTTGAAATATAATACTTATAAGATTTTCATTATATCATTAGGGAAAATGATTCCTCCACTTTACCGCATTTCTTATGTCTGACTTTTTGAAGTGGTTAAATATTATAACCAATAGGGTATTTATTTTGGTATAACTGTTTCAAGAGTAAAAGAAATTTGTTGGGTTGTACAATCAAACCTCAGGAAATTGTTCTATAAAAAAATACCAACAAGGTTTAAAAACTATTTTTCACAATTTTTGGATAAATTTTGAGTGCTCACAAACATGTTTAACCCTGCCACAATCTTTATGTGCCTGTCCCAAGTCAGGAGCCTGTTATTTAGAAGTTATTGATGCTTGCTGCCAACCTTTTTTGTTTTAAGCAAAAATTGGGCCCTTGGTTTTCTCTTTTGAAAAGTTTTTACATTTTATTATGCCTATGCCTTTTATAGCTTACCCAAATTCAAATGTTTATCGTCATTAAACTAAATAAGCATGACAAATACAACACAAACAAGAATAGGTGTCCATAGAATACCTACCATGCCCAGCTTGCACTATCCATGTCCATGCTGAGTGAGCCAAGATATCATGGTCAAAATTGTAATTACACAATTTAAAAAATTTTCACCTCACAATGAACAGGTGTAATAACTTTCAAGTTAATGTGACCACAACTTCATTGTTAACCTCCTTAAACAAAAACTTTAACCTTTTTTGAGCTTTTTAACCTGAGAATGTACAAAGTGGAGAACTTCCTTAAGCTCAATCTTACATTTGTATATAAAGTTGTTTATAATTTTGTTGGAAATAATATTTAAATGATTTACACATGTTTATCTTCTCCAATATCCTGTTGAAGCTGTTAAGTATCTAAATTAATTTCCTTTTGATGGGTTTTACCCAATGTTGAAGGCCATATAGTTGTTAAAATCATCGTATTTGATTTGTGTCTCAGGTGGATAGTCGTCCCATTGGCCATCATGCTAGTATCACAACCCCTTATTTTCATACACCTACCACTACAAGTTTTGTTGTCGTTATTGAGTTGGTATCCAGTCTCACAAAAACACACAGCTTTGTTACTCTCTATAGTACATCCAGACTGGCAATTCTTAGCATTACACAGTGTAGTATTATAATTTGGATCTGAAAAACATATTTTAAAATGAAAAATTTACACAATTCTTTGAAATCTTTACACATTCATGACAAGTATAAAGCAAGGTTACTAACTGTATTGACCTGTTTTTTTTTCAATCCTGAAGTGCCATCATCATAAAAATTTGTATAAATGGGGAAAAATCCACAATCAAATTTTTATTGTTGCAATGTGTATGAAAATATAAGTGGATTTAAGGTAGATCATAAGTATATACTTTTTAAGATACAATCTTCTTATACTTTGCCAAAAGGAAGATTTTACTATGCTTTTTTCAAATTTATAATAAAAAGTATGGGTCACCGTGCTATTTTCCAAGCTATGAGTCGTTGAAAATTGCCTAAATTTGGTTAGATTGTTCATGAAAAAACACATTTGTGTGCATAAAAAAAATTCTATGAGATAGAATTTTGAAATAAATTGTAAGAAGATAGGTTTTATAATATGTTTTAAGAAAATAAAAAGAAAAAATGGTGTCTCCGAACTTGTTTTCTAGCTACAAATAAAAATTAAAAATTTCCCTATCAGTCCAGTATATATTTTTTACTAAAAGAGTTATTTCCCCTTAAATGGCTTATTTGAAAAAAAAGATTCTAAAAACACAAAATTTGATATTTGTTTAAATATTTTGTATAATACAATAAGTCACCAAGCTTTCTTTATATAAATAAACAATCTAACCATTAAATTGCAAATCTGTCTCCAAATTTGCAGATTTGGGCAAATAACTAGACCATTTTTGTACTGAGATTGTACAATCCAAGATGGCAGTATACCATGAATCTACCTTAACAACTGTCTTTGTAAAGAAACAAAACTTGTAGAAAATTTGTGTCTGCTATGAATTATTTTAATATAGGATGTTTGAAATTTGACAATTGATGTAGGAAAACTTATCATTTTAAGACATCTAATTATATATCATAACCCGGGCTTGACTCGGGTTAATAGTGAACCTTTTATTATGTGCCAGCCACACGCCTATTTTACAGTTGAGTGATTTTTTGTATGTCCAGGTAGTATATAAGGCCAGGTGACCTGAGTAGTATCCTATTTTATTTCAAGGCCGCACGCTTTTAAGTACGTATCAAGCAGACCCTGTTTGATCGATACACGTGTCTATACTATAGATTTTCAAATGGCTAGGTCTCGTAGACCATCTTCTTCAGAATCTGAAGATGAAAGAAACTATGAGGAGATTATGAAGCTTTTTGCTTCCGAGGATGAGTTTGACGCAAGTTTCTCCGTTTTTTCTGAAAATATAAGTGTGAATCACGCTTCAAATACACCGGAGTGCATTCAGGTTTTAGATAAACCGGATATAGATTCTATTTCACAAACTGTGAGTACAAATGTAAAAACTAATAAGAAAACAGTGGTTGTGCTTACAGAAAAAGGACCTGGAAAAGGTCCAGGTAAAAATAAGAAAGGCAAAGCACCTTTGAAAAGAAGTATTCAAATTACGCAGGACGAACCATCCGCTAGCTGTAGTAAGCCAAAGGCTCCCAGAAAAACTTCTAAAAGTAAACAAGCTCAGGCCGAGCAAAATGAGTTACTGAAAAAATTATTTGCTGACTTATCTAGTAATATTGTGTCTGCAATAAATGTCAATAGTAGTGGTACTGCAGGTCCAAGTAGTGACCCCCATAGTTTTATACAGGAACTTGAAGATAATGACATTAATGAGGTCGAAAATGGCCAAAATGTTTTCAATTTGTTTGAAACTGATGATTTGTCTGAACATGAGAGTAATGTTGATCCCACACAACTTGTCGTTGAAAGTGAAGACGAGGAGTTTGATTATGAAATGCCAAAAATTTTTGAGGACGATGAACGGTTTGATTCTGAGGTCAGCCATCAGTCATAGAAAAAATTTGTAAGAAAAAGTCGGATGTTAAATCTTTGACTAAGGATAGCAAGATACCTAGCAATTGTAAAGCTTTAGTACCACCACCTGTCAACCCAGAAATTTGGCAATTTTTAGCCTGTAGAGCTAAGACTGAGGATTTGATTTCTCAGAATATTCAAAAGCTAACAGGGGCAGGCAATGGTCCCTTTGATTAAGGTAGCAGAATTATTACGAGGGAAAAATCCTTGTATTAAGACAATGAGAGAGTTAATTTCAAGAGCTATTTCTATACAGTGTAATTTGCATTTTGAGTTATCTATTAAAAGGAGAATGAATTTGAAGCCTCATATTGAACGTAAATTCCATCAATTGTGTAACAGAAATGAGGTCGTGGGTGAAAAACTATTTGGAGATGATATTAGTAAAAGACTTCGGGAGATTAATGATGCACAAAAGATAAACAAAACTTTTAGTTCAAAAAACTACAGAGGCCGATCCTATCGGCGAGGGTACCGGTTTGGTATGTCAAACCCAAGAGGCAATTTCAGAGGGCAGAGCCGCTACCCAAGAGGGTCATACAGGCAACCCATGATGAATTCTCAATACAGAAGAAAAAATTGAAGGTTGGTATTACATGTAAACATGTTGAAAAAGTTGGCTTAAACATTGGTAAATTAAAATATCATATTAGAAATTGGAAAAAATTAACATCAGATAGTTGGGTATTAGAAACAATTACTGGTTACAAAATAGAATTTGATGAGATACCAGTTCAGAAAATAATTCCAAGACCTATAAAATTTAATAATAAAATGCTCTGCAGGGCGCAGCTTGATACGACCGCAGAGGTCGAACCCTGAACAGTTGGGGCAAGTATGGACACAACATTCAAGCTTGATACAGCTTTGCATTTGGATTGTGATTAAATATTTGACACAGCATAGGTTTCTCACACAGAATGAATGTGGTCTAAGAACTTAAAAATTTTAAATTGGACATTCACCTATTATGGTCCAATATCCAAAATCTAAATACATGGTTAGATTCAGCATATCAAAGAACCCCAAGAATTCAATTTTTGATGAAATCAAACAAAGTTTCATTTTGGACCCCTTTGACCTCAATGTGGACAAAGTTGATAACAGGGCCCAAAAATCAAAAATCTAAATACATGGTTAGATTCAGCATATCAAAGAACCCCATATATTCAATTTTTGTTGAAATCAAACAAAGTTTAATTTTGGACCCCGATTTGGACCAACTTGAAAACTGGGCCCATAATCAAAAATCTAAATACATATTTAGATTCAGCATATCAAAGAACCCTAAGAATTCAATTTTTGTTAAAATCAAACTAAGTTTAATTTAGGACCCTTTGGACCTTAATGTAGACCAATTTGAAAACGGAACCAAAAATTAAGAATCTAAATACACGGTTAGATTCGGCATATCAAAGAACCCCAATAATTCAATTTTTGATGAAATCAAACAAAGTTTAATTTTGGACCCTTTGGACCTCAATGTGGACCAATTTAAAAACGGGGCCCAAAATTCAAAAACTTAATACACGGTTAGATTCAGCATATTAAAGAACCCCAAGAATTCAAGAATAAAACCCCATTGAAATTGGTCAAGAAATAAGCAATTTATACGAAGTATCTTCTTTTGCACAATACTGTGCAATTAAATATTTCTTGCTATTGCGCAATACTGTACAATTGACAATTTCTTGCTATTGCGCAATATTGTGCTATTGGATATTTCTTGCTATTGCACAATACTGTGCAATTGAAGATTTCTTGCTATTGCACAATACTGTGCAATTGAAGATTTCTTGCTATTGTGCAATACTGTGCAATTGAAAATTTCTTGCTATTGCACAATAATTTACACATCCTGTTTGGTGTGTATCTCCTACCATATCATTATTATTTGCTTTTAAATATAAATCAGAAATAACCAACTTAAAATGGAAAATTTTAAAAGAAAAAAAAAGGAAAAAAGAAAAAAAAGGAAAAAAAAAAAATCCCCCCCCCAAATTTTTTGAACCCCCTTATGATTCATCACCCCCAAACTCAATCCCAGCCTTCCCTTTGTGGTGTGGTACTTTGTAGTACAATTTCAGAGAGATCCATACACTTGAACACAAGTTATTGTCTGGAAACTAGAAAAATGTGTTTTTTTCCCCTTTTTGGCCCCGAATTCCTAAACGTCTAGGGCAATTACCCCCAAACTCAAACCCAGCTTTGCCTTTGTGATATGGAACCTTGTAGTACAATTTCAGAAAGATCCATACACTTACACACAAGTTATTGTCCTGAAACTAGAAAAATGCTTGTTTTTTGCCCCTTTTTGGCCCCTAATTCCTAAAATATTGAGGCAATTACCCCCATCATCAATCCCAGCCTTCCCTTTGTGGTATGGTACCTTGCAGTACAATTTCAGAGAGATCCATACACTTGAACACAAGTTATTGTCTGGAAACTAGAAAAACGCCAGACGATGACGACGACGCCAACATCATACCAATATACGACCACAAAATTTTTTTTGCGGTCGTATAAAAATGAGGAAAGATTAGTTGATACAGAGGTATCTGATATGTTAATAAAGGGAGCAATTAAAATTTCACACCATGAGAAAGGTGAATTTATTTCAAATCCTTTTCTTGTAAAAAAGAAAAATGGAACATTTAGACCAGTTATTAACCTGAAAAAATTAAACAGTTATATTCAGTATTATCATTTTAAACAAGAAACTCTTGAAGTTATTTTGAAAAGCATCTCTAGAAATGCATTTTTTACAAGCCTGGATTTGTCCAAGCATATTGGTCTGTAGCGATACACAAAGACAGTAAAAAGTATTTGAAATTTATGTGGAATAACAAATTATATAATTTTGAATGTCTCCCATTCGGAATAGCTTCGGCTCCAAGAATATTTACAAAAAATCATGAAAGTGGTATTTTCACATGTGAGACAGTTAGGAATTAGTTCTTTCTTTTATATTGATGATTCCCTATTACAAGCACTTTGTTTCGAACAAGCAAAAAGAAACACACATTTTGTAAATGATTTAATAGAATCACTAGGTTTTTCAATAAATATAGAGAAATCAAATTTTATACCTTCACAAAGAACAATGTTTCTGGGATTCATTATTGATTCAGTTTTGTTCAAGGTATTTTTACCAGAAGATAAAATACAAAAAATTATAGAAATTTCATACAAAGTGTTTGAACGGAAGATTACACAAATTCATACGGTTGCCCAATTAATTGGGTTATATCCTTCATCTTATCATGCAATTACACTTGCACATTTACAGCAAAGATATTTGGACATTGACAAAACAAAAGCTTTACAAAAATCTTTCAAAAATTTTAATGCTCATATGTTTTTGTCAGTGGAGAGTAAAAATGAGATTTTATGGTGGATTCAAAATATTAAAAAAGAAAATGGTTGTCCAATTCGACAAGAGCCTCCAAAAGTTTATTTACAAACTGATGCGTCGTTGATAGGTTGGGGTGCAGTATTTGAGAAAGATTGTACCCAAGGTAGATGGAATATAGATGAATGTCAGAATCATATTAATGTGTTAGAATTAAAAGCAATAATTTTGGCATTGAAGGCTCTTTGTAGATCTGTTAAAGATTGTCATATTTGTGTTAGAACAGACAGCGCAGTAGCGGTTGCATACATCAATAATCAAGGGGGATCAATATTATCACTTTTAAAACTTGCAAAAGAAATTTGGTTTTGGAGTACTGAAAGAAAAGTATTTATATCTGCAGTACATATCCCAGGAAAACAAAATATACAACCAGATAATTTATCTAGACAATTTATATTAATTAATGATTCTTCAGAGTGGAAACTAAACAGTTCAGTTTTTGAAAAAGTGACTTTAAGTTTATTTAACCCAGAGATTGATTTGTTTGCGTCTCGTTTAAACAAACAACTGCCAAAGTATGTTAGTTGGTTCCCTGATCCAGAAGCTTATGCTTCAGATGCATTTTCTCTCTCTTGGAGTAATTTATTACCATATATTTTTGCTCCTTTCAGTCAGTTGCCAAGAGTCCTACAGAAAATAGAAGAGGACAAGGTAAGGAAGGCATTAATTATAGCTCCTGTTTGGACAACACAAACATGGTTTCCAAAATTATTAGAATTATTAATTTCTACTCCACTAAAATTACCAAATTGGTCAGATCTATTAACTTTGGCTCACAATGGTCAAAGACATTCAATGAACAAACGAAGATTATTCCTTATCGCTTGTATTGTATCCGGCGATATCTCATTGATAAAGGCTTTTCAAAAAGAGCTGTTAGAATTCTCTCCGAATCATGGAGAGATTCAACCAATAAACAGTATGAATATGCTTGGAGGAAGTGGATTTTGTGGTGTAGTAAAGAACAAATTAATTCCACTTCTCCATCTGTGATACAAATTTTGAATTATCTATCTTTTTTGTATGAAAACAAAAAATCTTACAGCTGTATTAATTCTCATAAATCAGCTATTTGTCAGACTCTGACATTATTAAATGGGTATGGCTGAATTGGCAAAAGATAAACACATAACTAGATTTATGAAAGGCATTTTTAATTTAAGGCCGTCTTTACCTAGATATACATTTACATGGAATGTTGGTACAGTTTTGAAGTACTTATCACAATTATATCCAAATGAGAATTTATCTCTAAAAATGTTAACTCTGAAATGCATTGCTTTATTTGCATTGTCATCAGCTCAAAGATCACAAACACTTGTTAATTTAGATCTGAGATTTGTATCTGTAACAGACAATTCTTTGATTTTCAAGATACCAGTTTTACTAAAAACAACTAAACCAAACAAATCTAATTTGGATGTTATCATACATAAATATCAAAAACAGGAAATTTGTCCTGTTAGATGTATTAAACATTATATTTTACGGACAAAGGATGTTCGAAAAAGTAAAAATTTATTCATTTCTTTTAGAACATTCAAACATGCTATAACTTCAACTATTGCTCGTTGGTTGAAAATAGTGTTAGGTAATGCAGGAATTGATATAAATAAATTTAAAGCACACTCATATCGTAGTGCTTCAACTTCAGCTGCTAAACAAGCTGGAATTTCACTGAATGATATATTAAAAACTGCTAACTGGAGGTCAGCTTACACTTTTCAAAAGTTTTATTTTAAAGATATTGAAACTCCATTGCCATCATATACTGAAACAGTATTTAATTCTTATTTATAGCTAGTGGTTTACAGGAACGGTATGGTGGACCAGGAGGATCAGCTATGGTTTTTCTACGTACATGTTATGATGTATCTAGCATTTCTGCGAGATGAATGGTTTTTGGACATTCCATTTGGTTTTTTGCAACAAGAGTTTGCTGACATTTGGAGTTGAATCGCTAGCAGTTTTAGTCAATAGAGAAAATGTGATAATTTAAGAACAATGAGAAAACAACAGTGTTATTTTGTTATATTTGTTACATGTGAGAGACATTTAAAAGTGAACTTTAGAGTATTAATTGTTTTCTGAAGATTGTAACAGATTTTTGTTTTTGAACATAATAAAAGTTATTATGAAGCTTATGTCTCTATTCCACAAAACAAAGAAATATTCTATTATTTCATGATAGTCATTGCAATTCTGGGTAGTTTTGGAGTAATGTTATTGAGACAAAATGTGATAATTTATGATCTACTACATGTACATATTATGTAGAGTGGTAGTTAGGTTTTCTACTAGAGGATGTTTTATATTTGGTATTAATAGATAATAGAGACTGTTTATGATTTTGGTATGAAAACAGAAACATCTAACACATGGAATAAAAAGATAGTAGATAGACATATTGGTGATTGTGTATTCTCTTTCGTACAAGTGATATACATGTATGGAGACAGATGAATTTTCTTTTTATCTGCAGTTAAATACTTTGATATGATTTAGGCTCATACATAGATACTTGTTAAAGTATGAGAGACCAATTGTATGGTTATGGTGATTGATGTTCTTGTTGTTCTTGTTGGTATTTGCATTTTTGGCTGTAAAGAGTTCACTATTAACCGGAGTCAAGCCCGGGTTATGATATATAATGGACCATCATCCAAACATCTGTGATGTGATGGATGAAGGTCATTATATGAGGAAGCCAAGGGCTTCCGAGGGTTAATAGTACCCTCCCTAGTGAATACCCATTCCCGATAAGGTTTGATATAAATGCAAATACTGGTCGTGTTATTAGTAATACCCATTTACACTGGAGATTTTACTGTTTGCCTCAAAATAAAAGAGGATACTACTCAGGTCACCTGGTCTTATATACTACCTGGACATACAAAAAATCACTCAACTGTAAAATAGGCGTGTGGCTGGCACATAATAAAAGGTTCACTATTAACCCTCGGAAGCCCTTGGCTTCCTCATATAATGACCTTCATCCATCACATCACAGATGTTTGGATGATGGTTCATTATTCAATATAAGTTCTATTCTATCTTGATATGCTTATCAGACCTCTGTTCTAAATTAACAATGCTGTATTCTCAACTTTTTATCTATACTTTTAAAAAGATAATACCTTTATGTCATGTAAAACAATACAAAATGATATTTTTAATTTACAATATCATCTTGCATAGTTAAAAAAATAAATGCTTTAAAAAGATCAATGCATAAAGTAGAGATAACTTACCTACATCAGATTTCAATTATCATTTTCTCAAATCTTACAATTTATATCATTACTAAAATTTTGCAGCAAATTTCATTTCAGTATATTTTTTTAGAAATTCCCATGTCACTAATTTTAATTTCCTTAACCTCTAACTTTCTTTTACATACCAGCTCTACATGTGGCCTGATCAGTGTTGAGGATATAACCATCACGACATGCACATGTAAAAGATCCTAATGTGTTGTTACATACTTGCTGACAGCTGGAGGTAGATTCGATACATTCATTCACATCTAATAAACATAATAATCAATATCATTTATGAAATGGTTTAAAAACACATAAAAAAAAATTGAAATATAGATTCCTTTTTATATAACCATAAAGCATCAATCTTTTTTTATTTACTTAATATCTAAGGACTTTTGTAATTGTATTAATACTATGAATACTGAATGCAATTTGTATAAAACAGCAAATTTGATTGGACATTTATTTTGTGGAGTTAAAATCTATGGTCAGAATGCTCAGCCCAATTGCAGATTGCATAAGTCACAAATATCCATTTTCTTGCGCAGAAAACTCAATTTGCCAAATAATTCTAAGCACTTTAATATAGAGGTCTCCACCATAAGTACAGGTAAAAATAACAGTAGAGGTCAAGTCACAGTTAGTTTTCTCGTTTGAATAGATTTACATTTGTCAATTCAGGGCCTTTTATAGCTGACTATGCGGTATGGGCTTTGCTCATTGTTGAAGGCCGTACGGTGAACTATAATTGTTTATTCCTGTGTCATTTGGCCTCTTGTGGAGAGTTGTCTAATAGGCAATCATACCACATCTTCTTATTTTTATATATATAGGTAGTTCTGTAGAAAAACATGTGCTTGTAATGTGACACATTCATGATGACCTCACACTGGAGTTAAGTGATTTTCAGCAATGAGTGCAAGTTAGTCAATGGGCAAGATTCTCTTGTCAGTGACTGGAGAAAGGTCAGAAAAGAGTGGTTGACTGATTATATTTGCCCTCTATGTCGGTTTAATGATTTGGGAATGTATTACCTACCATTATGACAGAACAATAATTGTTATGGAAGGAAACATAAATGCCTCTAAATACATTGACATTATTGACAATAATGTGTGGCCAGTGGTTGTTCGTCATTTTCCCAATGATGACTACGTTATTAAAAATGACAATCCCCCCATCCATCAGGCCCGATCTGTTCAGGATATTTGTTGGGAAACAGATTTAAAAAGCATGCATTAGCCAGCTCAAGAGTCCTGACATCAATATTTTTGAAAACTGTTGGTGCTGATTAAAAAGAAAACTGCAAAAACAAACCCGAAACATAATTAATACCAAAGACCTGGAAAGTGAAATTTGTGACGTATTTTCTTAACGGTTTAACAATTCCTAGGAGAAATTTACGAGTACTAAGTAACAAAGGAAATATTACAAAGTATGAAGTAAGGAATTTTTTATTTTGTTATTTGTTCAATAGTTCCAGATGTTTTCATGTGCAGATTTACATCGACCGGCAGCCATTTTTTATGAATACTTTTGGTGGACAACTGCACGATGTAAAATAAAGAAATTGTAATGGTCAAATAATATTAAATAAAGCAGAAATACCCTAAAAGTACAATGGAATCATCAATGATTTTGACATTCCTACGACTATCTTAATAGCAACTATGTTACCCCCTCCCCCCTTTTAAAAAAAAAAAGATACAGCTTACAATTTAAATTCATACTTTTCTAATCATTTCAAACAAAGAAGCAGATTTAAACAATCAAGAGTCTGACTTGATTAACTGCAATTATAGATAGAGAAGCTTATTTACACACCAGATCCATTTGGACATGTTTACTATAACTACAGGCATTTTTCTATATAATGTACGAGGGTGACCAACTAGGATTTTCTACAATTAGCTAGATATTTTTTTTATATATACATTCAAGAATAAATTGCTTCGCCGAGCGCAGCTGGATACGACCACAGAGGTCCAACCCTGAACAGTTGGGGAAAAAATGGACACAATATTCGCACTTGATGCAGGTCTTAATTTGGATTGTAATTAAATATTTGACACATAAAAGGTTTCTGACACAGAATAAATGTAGTCAAAGAACTTAGAATTGGTTATACATTGTATGATTTGAATTTATATTCAATTTTTTGCTTTTGTGCAATACACTTTGCTGTTGCGAATTGACCCCCCTTCCCCCCACAAACAAACAAAAATTTGCCCCCTTTTTTTTTTGCTTTTGTGCAATACACTATGCTGTTGTGTATTAACCCCACCCCCCCACACACACTTTTTTTTTGCAAAAAAAATAATACTTGAAGATTTTTTTTTTAATTTCTGAAATCTGAATGAGAAAAAATTGACCCCCCACAATTTCTTTTTACCCCCCCCCCCCCCCTTTTTTCCCCCAAAAAATTATTTCCCTCAAGATATGGTAATAATCTCAATTCAAATTTCCATTGGAGTTTGCAACCTTAATTACCCATTTCAATTTACCATAGTGCTAACTTAATCTATTTTATAATAGAATTTAAAATATGGTGTCAAATCTTTCATATGGATTTTTTTGTAAAAAAAAAAAGATGCAACATTTGCAGATATTCTTACTGGTCTTCCTTTATAAATATGCATTTCTTTAAACATAATTTAAAAGCAGTGTAAGGGAGGTAATCAAATAAAGGCAACAGTAGTATACCGCTGTTCGAAATTCATAAATCGATTGAGAAAAAAACAAATCCGGAAACACATCAAATATAAGAGGAAAACAGAAACACAACATTAAAATGTAACACACACAGAAACGAACTATAATATAACAATGGCCATTTTCCTGACTTGGTACAGGACATTTTAAGAAAAAAATGTTGTATTTGGATTACCTCCCTTACACTGCTTTTAAATTGTCTTCATTGTTCATTAACCATTACTTTATACATAACTTAAAAGCAGTGTAAGGGAGATTATTAAAATGATGTATTTGAATAACCTCCCTTACACTGCTGTAAATTAAAGTACTTGTCCATTAACCAGGACACCCTTGTTTTTCACCCTTTTTTGTCCCTCATTCCTAAACGGTTTGAGCCATAACCCCCCAAAGCAAATCCTAACCATCTCTTTGTGGTATGGAAACTTGTGGTATAATTTCAGAGAGATCCATACACCGTTCCACAAGTTATTGTCTGGAAACTAGAAAAATGCCCCCTTTTTGGCCCCTAATTCCTTAACTGTTGGTACCATAATCCCAAAAATCAATCCCAACCTTCCTTTTGTGGTATTGAACCTTATGGTAAAATGTCATAGAGATCCATTCACTTAAACTCAAGTTATTGTGCGAAAACCAATGTGTCTTCGGACGACAACGACGACGACAACGTCATACCAATAAACGACCGCAAAAACTTTTGCGGTCGTATAATAATTAAAACTCAATTTAATTTACGAAGAAAAAAGTAATTTTTCAAGAGTTAAACATGTGCTTTATTTACTATGTTAAACAAGTGCAACTATTAAAATTGAGAATGGAAATGGGGAATGTATCAAAGAGACAACAACCCGACCATAGAGCAGACAACAGCTGAAGGCCACCAATGGGTCTTCAATGCAGAAACTCCCGCACCTGAACCCCCTTATGATTCATCACCCCCAAACTCAATCACAGCCTTCCCTTTGTGGTATGGTACCTTGCAGTACAATTTTAGAGAGATCCATACACTTGAACACAAGTTATTGTCTGGAAACTGTAAAAATGCTTGTTTTTTTGCCCCTTTTTGGCCCCAAATTCCTAAACGTTTAGGGCAATTACCCCCAAACTCAAACCCAGCTTTCCCTTTGTGATATGGAACCTTGCAGTACAATTTCATAAAGATCCATACACTTACACACAAGTTATTGTCCTGAAACTAGAAAAATGCTTGTTTTTTTGCCCTTTTATGGCCCCTAATTCCTAAAATTTTGAGGGAATTACCCCCAAAATCAATCCCAGCCTTCCCTTTGAGGTATTGTACCTTGCAGTACAATTTCAGAGAGATCCATACACTTGAACACAAGTTATTGTCTGGAAACTAGAAAAATGCTTATTTTTGGCCCCTTTTTGACCCCTTATTCCTAAATGTTTTAGGCAATTACCCCCAAACTCAATTCCAGCATTCCCTTTGTGATATGGAACCTTGTGGTACAATTTCATAAAGATCCATACACTTGAACACAAGTTATTGTCATGAAACTAGAAAAATGCTTGTTTTTGCCCCTTTTTGGCCCCTAATTCCTAAAATTTGGAGGCAATTATCCCCAAAATCAATCCCAGCATTCCCTTTGTGATATGGAACCTTGTGGTACAATGTCAGAGAGATCCATACACTTACACGCAAGTTATTGTCATGAAACTAGAAAAATGCTTGTTTTTTGCCCCTTTTTGGCCCCTTATTCCTAAAATTTGGAAGCAATTACCCCCAAAATCAATCCCAGCATTCCCTTTGTGATATGGAACCTTGTGGTACAATGTCAGAGAGATCCATACACTAACACACAAGTTATTTCCGGAAGTTACAAAAATGTTAATTTTTGGCCCCTTTTTGGCCACTAATTCCTTAACTGTTAGTACCATAATCCCCACCTTCCTTATGTGGTATTAAACCTTATGGTAAAATTTCATAGAGATCCATTCACTTAAACTAAAGTTAGAGTGCGAAAACCAATGTGTCTTCGGACGACGACGCCAACGTCATACCAATATATGACCACAAAATTTTTTGGCAGTCGTACAAAAATGATACTATCCACTACTTTAGACTAGCAAAGTTCACAGTTGGTAGTTTAATCCTTTCATATCTATTAATTATAATCCCTAAATCTGACAATAATTTACTTAAGCTAAATCAAAATCAACTACAAAATTTCAAAGGGTTGTATCCATATTATCAAATGATAGCATCATGCATTAAATAAAATACAGCCTAAAACATGCAAAAATTCCTAATATATTCTTCTTAGCAGATTCAGCACTTACCAATACATTGTACCCTTAACAACCTGTAATCTGTAAATGATAATAAAATATTTATTATAAATTCCTTAGATGTAATTGTTAAAACATGCATGGGCATGTAAGTTTTTAGATATTAGTTATCAAAAAAAGATATAATTCACAATTTCATTTTGAAAAATAAACTATATAAATCAAGGTTGTGATATCAAATATCCTATTATAATTATGGCTATACAGTACTAACCTACACATTGATCAGCAATATATCTGTATCCTGCTTCACAAGAACAGGTATAACCACCCATATTGTTGGTACAAATCTGTTCACAAACAGGATTTGTTCTGTTTAAGCATTCATTAACATCTAAAATGAATAAATACAAAATTATTCTAAAAATACTTGAAATATTTGCCACTTTAAATAAATAACCATCAATCAATCAAACACTGTAAATTCAGAAATTAATTAAATGCTTATTTCATACACAATTAGTTTAATATTTGATATCCATGTAACCCAACTATCAAAGATATTTTAAATCTTTAGAACCAAAGAAACTTTAAGTTTTGTTCAATTGTTTTCTTCATCCAGATAATCCCAAATAAAGAGCTGCGCATGATACGCCCGTCGCTTTTTCAAAGAATAAACTTCCAAAACTCCTTTATAAAAAACTAAAGGGATGTTATTTCAATAGATATATACCAGTCACCAAAGTTTCATGAAAACTGCTCAAAGCACATTTGAGTTATTGTCCGAAAACTGGAAAATCAACCCTTTTTTACGAATAAAATCCCAGAACTTGGAAACGTAAAATCTAAAATTTATAAAAATCGAAAGGGAGGTTACTTCAATAGATATGAACAATTCAGCAAAGTTTCATGAAGACTGCTCAAAGCATTTTTGAGTTATAGTCCGAAAACTGGAAAATCCCCCTTTTTTAATGAATAAAACCCCATAAGGTATAGAACCACTAATTCAGGCCAGGTCGGAAAGAACATACAAGAAAGTAGTACATATTTTAAACAAAATAGTTCCTACATATAGCTGTATCACTGTCAATAGGTGAAATATTTGGGTAGTTTTGATATCAAATGAAAGCTTGGGGACTTGGGATCACTGTAGAGCCCTTGTTGAAAATTTCTTTTGAATAATAAAGAAGTATGTAAAATTTTAATAGGAGGGCACATTTGCCATGTTGTTCAGATCAAAAGTACCTGTTTTTGTATTATCAAACTTCCGGGAACCAGTACGCTCTAATATGCAATTAAAGGTATGTTGAATTTTTCAATACAAGTCAGGATAAGGTATAGTTTTGACATGAAATAACTGCCGCTATATTTGAAATTAAGACAAAGTAGCCATTAATGCTTGAAATTGCAGAATTTAACATAGAAAGCAATAGGGCTATGAATTAGTGGTTTTATACCATAACTTGGAAACATAAAATCTGAAATTCATAAAAATCAAAAGGGAGCTCACATCAATAGATATAAACAATTCATCAAAGTTTCTTGCAAATTGGTGAAAGTGTTTTGAGTTATTGTCCGAAAACTGGAAAATCCCCCTTTTTAATGAATAAAACCCTATAACTCTGAAACGTAAAATCTAAAATTTATAAAAATCAAAAGGGAGCTCACGTCACTATACATAAACAATTCACCAAAGTTTCATGCAAATTGGTTAAAGCGTTTTTGAGTTATTGTCCGACATGTTGACGACGGACAGACGGACGGTAAACAGACGGACGGACGGACAGATGGACGGACGGAAAAACAGACGGACAACGGTATACCATAATACGTCCCGTAAACAGGCATATATAAAATTAATGTTTGTTTCCTGCCTCTTTTTCTGTTGGATTGTGGACTCTGATATTTGATTGTCTTGCCAAAATTATTTATTTAAGAAATAGGGCTTTGTGTTGTTAGAGGAGACTTTGAATTCTATTTCCACTGGCACTGGACATTAAGCAACCAACAATCAATCAATCTATTTCCACTTAAATAGTCAAATTTATAATAAAATTGACCAAAACTGAGTGAAAAAGTTGTCATAACATCGAAATTGTAAAAGTTCCAATGGCATGCAAAAAATATTGGACATGTAGTGTAAAACAGGATGGATTCTGACTCAGAGAAAAAGTTGTGATTTTTCAAGATTGTTTAGAAATTTTTTTCTAATCTTATAAACCATCTATTTTTTTGAACTGGAGGCAGGAAACAGTTTTGTTTTTGGGCCCTAATGTAAAATATATACATTCATCTAAAATATATCAGTGACTGGCAGTTTTCAAATCTTGACAATAACTTCAGCTGTACATTATTATATTCTAAGATCTTTTTTCAAACTGAAAGACCAAATTTAAGTAAATCACACTGTCACTGTAGCTTTATCATGTGTTGTTAAGGGATGTCAATACAATTTCAGGGGAGATAATCATTAATGGGACAATTAAAGTAGTAACATAAATTTTCAAATGATACTAAACTTTAATCACGATTTCCATTCTGTACAAAAACTCAATTCTGAACTTTATGTTGGACTGACCTTTATTTTGTATTGACCTCTACTTTGACCCTTAATGCTGAACTCACCTCAATGTTGAACTGAATTTTATTCTGTACTTTTTGTTCTGACCTTTACCCCCTACATCAAACATTTATTTCATACTGACTCATAACCTGAGTGTTTATGCTGTATTGATTTCTTTCTTGAATTTTTATGTATTTCCTACCTCTATTCTGAACTTTTATTTTGCAGACTTCTATCCTGAATATTAATTGTGTACCAGTACTGACCTCTATCTTCAATATTTTAGCACAACACTCACCAGTACATTTTCCATTGATCAATTCAAAGCCTGCCTCACAATTACTACAGCTGTATAACACTTTATCGTTGTCTTGATCTGCAGGTGACTTGTCTATACATGTTGTAAGCGATGGACAAGGATTGTTTGCACACCCATCTGTGTCTTTATCACACTTTTGTCCTGTAAAATTGAAATTAATTAGTTATAAATGTGGCACATGATTAAGATTTACCAAAATATATAAATATTCATTATGCAAACATGTGTAGATTCACATATCAAAGAAATTGTCCAATGCTTTATGAAACTGCATACACATAAATAGTGAAAGATATAAAAAATGCTATAATAATAAGAAACTTTTTTACTTCAAAAGTTCTATTTTTACATCTAAGACAGTTTTTCTGTCAGATAAAGTTTCTTACCATCCCAGCCAACATCACATTTACATTGAACAGTATAATACAACAGTGATGAGCTGCCAGTTATGACATTTTCATAGTCACATATACCATTATTGCTACATCCTGGACATAAATAAATTGCGACCGTTTCTGTGGAGGATATACCACTGTTGGTATCAACTGCATAATAACTGAAATAAAAGAAAAAAAAAACATGTAATTGTTTTAGTTAATAATACTTTGTCTCTCTTTCTAAACTTATTTGGGCAGATATGGCTGTATGAGGAACACACAATTTTTTTTCTCACTAAATGGTAAGTAAGAAAGTAAGTAAAGGAGTAGGGGCATTAAGGCCCAGTGTTAGCCAAAGATGATGTTATGACGTCACAATTACATCATTAAATACACCAATTTCATGAAAACAAAGAAAACGGCTAAGTTTATGCAGTTTTCTGTCATTATTTCCTTTGATGAAACATCGTGCACAGGCAAGAAACAACAAAATAATTTATGAGAAGCTTAATTATAACTATTGACAATATAAATTTGTTTCTTGGTTGCGCACATACTTTTCAAATCTAATATATACCTAAAAGTTGACGTAAAACAAGGAAATTCAAGAAATATTACAAAATATACACATTTTGTCATAGATTGTTGCCATGGTAACTTGTTAAATGTGATGTGAAATTTATTTTCTGAACACCTTGTACCTAAGTGTAGTTTGGACAAAGTTAAGAATATGTATTGTAACTTTTCAATTTGGACATATATTTGGGCCAAATAAGGGCCTTATTGCCCCTACTCCTTTTATTTAAAGTCATATATGTATACAATAACAAAGAAAACATGAGTTCTGAAGAGCTCTTTACCCAACTAAAATGAGGACACATTGTATAGCATTTCATTTAAGTGCCATATATCAAAAGTACTTGTGCCAGTCAACCTAACTTACTAAAAAAAGAAAAATTTTAACTTTGAGGTCAAATAACTAGAGGCTCTCAAGAGCCTGTGTCGCTCACCTGTATTTACTGATGCTTTGGAAATCATGTAAAATAAGGTTAAAATCATAATTAATAGTATTAGATATTAGATATTATAATGATACCCTAATAATGATTATGGCCAAGTATGGTTAACTTTGTCTCAGTAGTTTCAGAGAAGAAGATTTTTGTAAAAGATTACAAAAATTTACGAAAAATTGTTAAAAATTGACTATAAAGGGCATTAACTCCTAAAGGAGTCGACTGACAATTTTGGTCATGACGACTTATTTGTAGATCTTACTTTGCTGAACATTATTGCTGTTTACAGTTTATCTCTATCTATAATAATATTTAAGATAATAACCAAAAACTGCAAAATTTCCTTTAAATTACCAATTCAGGGGCAGCAGGCCAACAACGGGTTGTCGGATTTGTCTGAAAATTTCAGGGCAGATAAACCTAAATCTGATGAACATTTTTGCCACCTGTCAGATTTGCTCTAAATGCTTTAGTTTCAGAGATATAAACCAAAAACTGCATTTTACCCCTATGTTCTATTTTTAACCAAGTCGGCCATGATGGTTGGAAGGCGGGGTCATCAGACAAATTTTTTGAACTAGATACCCTAATAATGATTATGGCCAAGTATGGTTAACTTTGTCTCAGTAGTTTCAGAGAAGAAGATTTTTGTAAAAGATTACAAAAATTTACGAAAAATTGTTAAAAATTGACTATAAAGGGCAATAACTCCTAAAGGAGTCGACTGACAATTTTGGTCATGACGACTTCTCTGTAGATCTTACTTTGCTGAACATTATTGCTGTTTACAGTTTATCTCTATCTATAATAATATTCAAGATAGTAACCAGAAACTGCAAAATTTCCTTAAAATTACCAATTCAGGGGCAGCAACCCAACAACAGGTTGTCAGATTTGTCTGAAAATTTCAGGGCAGATAGATCTTGACCTGATAATCAGTTTTACCCTCTGTCAGATTTACTCTTAATGCTTTGGTTTCATAGATATAAGCCAAAATCTACATTTTACCACTATGTTCTAATTTTAGCCATGGTGGCCATCTTGGTTGGTTGGCGGGGTCATCGGACACATTTTTTAAACTAGATACCCTAATGATGATTGTGGCCAAGCTTGGTTAAATTTGGCCCAGTGGTATCAGAGGAGAAGATTTTTGTAAAAAGCTAACGACGACGACGGACGACAAGTGATGAGAATAGCTCACTTGGCCCTTCGGGCCAGGTGAGCTAAAAAGGTTATGAAATGGTCATGAAGGATTGCAACAAATCTTCTAATGGTGACAAATTCACAGTCACTCTAAACAGCTTTACTTTACTTGAAATGCAAACAGCTTTATGGCTAAAACAAACTTGTGTGTAATAAATATATCTATATATTACATATGGTGTACATGGTGTAGCATTCTTCTTTTTTCATTGGTTATTACGATCATGTGTTTCAAAGGGTATTCCATGTACATGAAACTTCCGTTTTGAGACCAATGCCTAAGGAAAGTATATTGCTATAGCAAGCTATAGCAAACTTTCCAAAAACTACCTTGACCAAAAACTTTAACCTGAAGCGGGACAGACGGACGAACAGATGGACGAACGGACAGACAGACGAACGAACGAACAGACGCAGACTGAAAAACATAATGCTCCTAGTTGGGGCATAAAAATGGATATGTGGTATGATTACCAAAGAGACAAAATGTGATACAATTCAAAAGAAAAACCTGTATGATGAAACAAACAATAAAGAAAAACAAATATGACAGACAGTAATCATCACATGATCATTGAAATGAAACCAAACTGTAATCTTTATATTCTAAATTTATACATTGTACTGTATAATGTTCTAAATGTTAGTTCAGTATAGGCAAGGTTAGACAATGATTGACAATCAGTAAAAAGTCCAGTTCTTTATAGACGACTTTCAAATTCATGTATTTTCAGGTACATTTCCAATGTCACAATGCTTATCATATTATTACAACACAGTAAAAAGAGCTGATTGCTCAATGATGTCATGTGCTGAGATTGACCTTTGGTCAACCAGCCTAACTCATTCTTAAGTTTTACAAGAATGTGTCCATGGTATATGGATGCCCCACTTGCACTATCATTTTCTATGTTCAGTGGACCGTGAAATTGGGGTTCAAAACTCTAATTTGGCATTAAAATTAGAAAGATCAGACAGACGGACGAACGGACAGACAGACGAACGAACAGACAGAAAAACATAATGCCCCTAGGTGGGACATAAAATGGATATATGGTATGATTGCCAAAGAGACAAAATGTGATGCAATTCAAAAGAAATAAAATGCTCCGCTGGGCGCAGCTTGATACGACCGCAGAGGTCGGACCCTGAACAGTTGGGGCAAGTATGGACACAACATTCAAGCTTGATACAGCACTGAATTTGGATTGTAATTAAATATTTGACACAGCATAGGTTTCTGACACAGAATGAAAGTGGTCTAAGAACTTCAAAATTTTTAATTTACCTATTCAAACCATATCATTATTATTTGCTTTTATATATAAATCAGAAATAACCAATTTAAAATGGAAAATTTTAAAGAAAAAAAAATGAAAAAAAAATCCCCCCCAAAATTTTTTGAACCCCCTTTTGATTCATCACCCCCAAACTCAATCCCAGCCTTCCCTTTGTGGTATGGTACCTTGCAGTACAATTTCAGAGAGATCCATACACTTGAACACAAGTTATTGTCTGGAAACTAGAAAAATGCTTGTTTTTTGGCCCCTTTATGGCCTCAAATTCCTAAACGTTTAGGGCAATTACCCCCAAACTCAAACCCAGCTTTCCCTTTGTGATATGGAACCTTGCAGTACAATTTCATAAAGATCCATACACTTACACACAAGTTATTGTCATGAAACTAGAAAAATGCTGGTTTTTTTGCCCTTTTATGGCCCCTAATTACTTAAATTTTGAGTGAATTACCCCCAAAATCAATCCCAGCCTTCCCTTTGTAGTATGGTACCTTGCAGTACAATTTCAGAGAGATCCATACACTTGAAGACAAGTTATTGTCTGGAAACTAGAAAAATGCTTATTTTTGGCCCCTTTTTGGCCCCTAATTCCTTAACTTTTTGGGCAATTACCCCCAAACTCAATTCCAGCTTTCCCTTTGTGATATGGAACCTTGTAGTACAATTTCATAAAGTTCCATATACTTACACATAAGTTATTGTCATGAAACTAGAAAAATGCTTGTTTTTTGCCCCTTTTTGGCCCCTAATTCCTATAATTTGGAGGCAATTACCCCCAAAATCAATCCCAGCATTCCCTTTGTGATATGGAACCTTGTGATACAATGTCAGAGCGATCCATAGACTTACACACAAGTTATTGTCATGAAACTAGAAAAATGCTTGTTTTTTGCCCCTTTTTGGCCCCTTATTCCTAAAATTTGGAGGCAATTACCCCCAAAATCAATCCCAGCTTTCCCTTTGTGATATGGAACCTTGTGGTACAATGTCAGAGAGATCCATACACTTACCCACAAGTTATGTCTGGAAGTTACAAAAATGCTTATTTTTGGCCCCTAATTCCTTAACTGTTGGTACCATAACCCCCAAAATCAATCCCCACCTTCCTTTTGTGGTATTGAACCTTATGGTAAAATTTCATTGAGATCTATTCACTTAAACTAAAGTTAGATTGCGAAAACTACTGTGTCTTCGGACGACGACGCCAACGTCCTACCATTATACGACCACAAAACTTTTTTTGCGGTCGTATAAAAACCTTACAAAATACAATGAAAAATACACAGAGAGAACATTGAAGTCCATTTCCATAATACACTATTTACATATGTAATATATAAATCAAGGACTTTCACTCAGGCAATGTATCCTTGTCAAAAATTCAACAAGTGTTAAAGACACTAAGCTGACACAGGAAACAGCACATAAAAGTTTCACCTCCATGACTTTCGTTGCATGCAAGACAAAAGTAGATGTAAATAAAACAGCAAACCTTATATTATAGTTTTCCTCATACTGGTTAGGAATCCAAGTTTTTGATAATAATGCATTTCCCTGTTGTGTCAGTTGGCCTGTGATTGTACCACTGAAGAACACTGTAACATCATCATTATCTGCATCTCTTGCCTCAGCAGACAGATTCACTGTTTCATTCACTGTGGCATTTACTCTCTTTGTTCCAGTTACTATTGGTATCTTATTTGCTGCAAAAGTGACCATTATACACATTTTTAACCAAATGAATATAGCATATCATGAAATATTGTTTTATCCTACTTTTTTAAAGTTCTGCAAAAATATCATGTTCTTTCATCAGACATTGTTACCTTTTTTCATGATGCCACTCTTCACGAAATCAAGAAAAATTGACAGCGTAATTGAATTTTGACCAATGAAGAGCTGAGATTTCGCAAACACTAGTGATTATTGAAAAAAATATTAATTGTTCATGGAAAATGTAAATCTACTAAGGGCTGTTCTAGAATTAAATGCAGTTGGGACATGGGAGGCACTTTTTGAGACCCCAACCACTCATAATATAATTTTTCTATTTTACTTAAAATTGTAACAAATCTTTTTTTAAATGCAACTTCCATGATCAATTAATCTGAGTGCCTCCTAATATATTTCATTTTGTGTGCTTGATGTTCAGATTTTACATTAATTTAACATATGGTTTAAACTATTGGCATTAAAATTAGAAAGATCCTATCATAGGGAACATGTGTACTAAGTTTCAAGTTGATTGGACTTCAACTTCATCAATCAAAGTGCTGGATAGCACCTGTAGAAAGTTTGCAACAGTAGATGTGTATTATTTCAAATAGGTTGTAGATGTGTAGATTGTGTGGTTAATGTTTTTTCGACTTTTAAAAAATTTTACTTAATACAAGAAATAATTGTAACAGGATGCTGTTACGAAGACTCCCAAACAAAGCTCCCATAATTAGTCATTCCCATGGTCGCCTGACATTGGGCAAAGTCCAGTACAAATTGGTTTGGTCTAGTAAAGTGATATGCATAAGTGACGCCTAGGGATTAACCATGTATGTCATTCAAATCTTCTTGAAATCATGAACAGGAATATATATGGTTTAGGGGTGGGAATCTCGACCGTTAACAAGTTCTCAAGCAGGAGGGGGTGGGGGTGACCCCCAGGGAAATCCCCTATATTTCATTTGATTTGTTTTATTGTCCAATACAAAAATGTATATGGTTTAGGGGTAGGGATCTCGACCGTTTACAAGTTCTCAAACAGGAAGGGGTGGGAGTGACCCCATGGGACTCGCCTTTTATTTCATTTGATTTGTTTTATTGTCTCGTACAAGAATATATATGGTTTAGAAATGGGGACTCACGACTGTTTACAAGTTCTCAAACAGGATGGGGTGGGGGTGACCCCAGGGACTCCCCCTATATTTCATTTGATTTGTTTTATTGTCCCATACAAGAATGTATATGGTTTAGGGGTGGGGATCTCGACCGTTTACAAGTTCTCAAACAGGAAGGAGGTGGGATTGACCCCAGGGGATTCGCCTTTTATTTCATTTGATTTGTTTTATTGTCCCGTACAAGAATATATATGGTTTAGAAATGGGGACTCACAACTGTTTACAAGTTCTCAAACAGGATGGGGTGGGGGTGACCCCCAGGGACTCCCCCTATATTTCATTTGATTTGTTTTATTGTCCCATACAAGAATGTATATGGTTTAGGGGTGGGGATCTCGACCGTTTACAAGTTCTCAAACAGGAAGGAGGTGGGAGTGATCACATTGGACTCACCTTTTATTTCATTTGATTTGTTTTATTGTCCCGTACAAGAATATATATGGTTTAGAAATGGGGACTCACGACTGTTTACAAGTTCTCAAAAAGGATGGGGTGGGGGTTACCCCCAGGGACTCCCCTATATTTCATTTGATTTGTTTTATTGTCCCATACAAGAATGTATATGGTTTATGGTTGGGAATCTTGACCGTTAACAAGTTCTCAAACAGGAGGGGGTGGGGGTGACCCCCAGGGACTCCACCTATATTTCATTTGATTTGTTTTATTGTCCCATACAAGAATATATATGGTTTCGGGGGTGGGGATCTCGACCATTTACAAGGTCTTAAACAGTACGGGGTGGGGGTGACCCAGAGGGACTCCCGTTATATTTCATTTGATTTGTATTAATGTCCCGTACATGAATGTATATGGTTTAGGGGTGGGGATCTCGACCGTTTACAAGTTCTTAAACAGAAGGGGGTGGGGTGATCCCAGTGACTCAACCTATATTTCATTTGATTTGTTTTATTGTCCTGTGATCATTACTGAAGACCGCGTGTGTCTATCACTTACTGTTTTCAAGTTATAGGCATTTGAAAATTCAAAAAAAATAAATCCCATAGGGTTCTATAGTAAATCCCTCCCTTCTGTAGGCCTTTGATACAGCACTGAATTTGGATTGTGATTAAATATTTGACACAGCATAGGTTTCTGACACAGAATGAATGTGCTCTAAGAACTTAAAAATTTTTAATTTACCTATTCAAACCATATCATTATTATTTGCTTTTATATATAAATCAGAAATAACCAATTTAAAATGGAAAATTTTAAAGAAAAAAAAAGGAAAAAAAAATCCCCCCCCTAATTTTTTGAACCCCCTTAAGATTCATCACCCCCAAACTCAATCCCAGCCTTCCCTTTGTGGTATGGTGCCTTGCAGTACAATTTCATAGAGATCCATACACTTGAACACAAGTTATTGTCTGAAAACTAGAAAAATGCTTGTTTTTTGCCCCTTTTTGGCCCCATATTCCTAAACATTTAAGGCAATTACCCCCAAACTCAAACCAAGCTTTTCCTTTGTGATATGAAACCTTGTAGTACAATTTCATAAAGATCCATACACTTACACACAAGTTATTGTCCTGAAACTAAAAAAATGCTTGTTTTTTGCCCCTTTTTGGCCCCTAATTTCTAAAATTTTGAGGCAATTACCCCCAAAATCAATCCCAGTCTTCCCTTTGTGGTATAGTACCTTGCAGTATAATTTCAGAGAGATCCATACACTTGAACACAAGTTATTGTCTGGAAACTAGAATAAACAGCTGCGCCATGAGCGCATGATACGCCCGTCGTCTTGTGTGTGAATTTTTATGCAATAAGCATAAATAGTTTCTGACATACGAAAACACCCTTTTTTTTTTTTACAAAAAACTCAATATCTATAAAATAAAATTTTGAATCAAAACCAAAAAGTATACAGATCTTTAGATTAATATAACTAAGAAGTGTGTAAAATTTTAAGCAATAATCATAAATCGTTTTTGAGATACGGCGCGACATGTGAAAACACCCCTTTTAAAAAAAAAATCAATATCTCAAAAATAAAATTTTGAATCAAAACCAAAAAGTATACAGATCTTTAGATTAATATAACTAAGAAGTGTGTAAAATTTTAAGCAATAATCATAAATCATATTTGAGATATGGCGCGACATGTGAAAAACCCCTCCCCCTTTTTTTACAAAATACTCAATAACTCAAAAATAAAATTTTGAATCAAAACCAAAAAGTATACAGATCTTAAGGTTTATATAACTAAGAAGTGTGTAAAGTTTTAAGCAATAATCATAAACTGTTTTTGAGATACAGCGCGACATGTGAAAAACCCCTCCCCCTTTTTAACAAAATACTCAATAACTCAAAAAGAAAATTTTGAATCATCACCAAAAAGTATACAGATCTTAAGATTAATATAACTAAGAAGTGTGTAAAGTTTTAAGCAATAATCATAAATTGTTTTTGAGATACGGCGCGACATGTGAAAAAAAACACACACCTGTTTTAGTTACTAAGTCCCGTAACTCAAAAAGTTTTAATCTTATTTTCACCAAAAAGTATACAGATCGTTTGACCATCATAAGAAACAACTATGTTAAGTTTCATGAAATTTGGATAAGTCATTCTCAAGTTACAGTGCGACATGTTTACGCCTGACAGACAGACGGACAGACAGACAGACAGACGGACGGACGCCGGACATTTGTATAACATAATACGTCCCGTCAAAAATTTGACGGGCGTATAAAAATGCTTATTTTTGGCCCCCTTTTGGCCCCTTATTCTTAAACATTTGGGCAATTACCCCCAAACTCAATTCCAGCTTTCCCTTTGTGATATGGAACCTTGCAGTACAATTTCAGAAAGATCTAAAGACTTACACACAAGTTATTGTCATGAAACTAGAAAAATGCTTGTTTTTTGCCCCTTTTTTGGCCCCTTATTCCTAAAATTTTGAGGCAATGACCCCCAAAATCAATCCAAACATTCCCTTTGTGATATGGAACCTTGCAGTACAATTTCAGAGAGATCCATACACTTGAACACAAGTTATTGTCTGGAAACTAGAAAAATGCTTATTTTTGGCCCCTTTTTGGCCCATTATTCCTAAACGTTTTGGGCAATTACCCCCAAACTCAATTCCAGCTTTCCCTTTGTGATATGGAACCTTGTAGTACAATTTCAGAAAGATCCATACACTTACACACAAGTTATTGTCATGAAACTAGAAAATGCTTGTTTTTTGCCCCTTTTTTAGCCCCTAATTCCTAAAATTTTAAGGCAATTACCCCCAAAATCAATCCAAGCATTCCCTTTGTGATATGGAACCTTGTGGTATAATGTCAGAGAGATCCATACACCAACACACAAGTTATGTCTGGAAGTTACAAAAACGCTTATTTTTGGCCCCTTTTTGGCCCCTAATTCCTTAACTGTTGGTACCATAAACCCCAAAATCAATCCCAATCTTCCTTTTGTGGTATTGAACCTTATGGTAAAATTTCATAGAGATCCATTCACTTAAACTAAAGTTAGAGTGCGAAAACCAATGTGTCTTCGGACGACGACGACGACGCCAATGTCATACCAAAATTTTTTTGCGGTCGTATAAAAACCTGTATAATGAAACAAACAATAAAGAAAAACAAATATGACAGACGGACGGATGAACGAACGGACGCACAGACCGAAAAAACATAATGCCCCTCTACTATCGTAGGTGGGGCTTACAAAGAATTGGAAAATGGTCTATACCAAAACTCACATGATAACTGTAACTACTGATTGTATACCATTTTCCAAACAAACAAAAAAGTTCTAAAATATCTACAGGTAGGACCATCAAGACTTTGTCTGTTTTACCACCTATATTGTATTTTTATAATAATGGTGGCCATGTTGAGTAGATAGGAGAAAAAATCTCTGTAATGAGCCAGCCACTCTAAAGATGATTGAGGGGATGTTTAGTTGTAAAGGCCAAAAGGGTAGCAGGGTATAACAAATAAACAGCTGCCTCATGAGCGCATGATACGCCCGTCACGTATTCAAAGAATAAAGTTCAATAACTTCTCAATGTCATATCAGAAATTTATAAAAATCAAAAGGGAGCTTACGTCAATAGATATAAACAATTCACCAAAGTTTCATGAGAACTGCTGAAATCATTTTTGAGTTATTGTCCGAAAACTGAGAAAATCCCCCCTTTTTTAATGAATGAAACCCCATAACTAGGAAATGTAACATCTAAAATTTATAAAAATAGAAAGGGAGCTAACGTCAATAGATATAAACTATTCACCAAAGTTTCATGAGACCTGCTGAAAGCATTTTTGAGTTATTTTCGGAAAACTGGAAAATCCCCCTTTTTTTAATAAATAAAACCCCATAACTCGAAAACGTAAAATCTAAAATTTATAAAGCAGGTGTTGGAAGATGCAGTTATTTTCAAATTTCACTGTTAATTTGATGTCGAGAGTTCTGTCTTCAGTTGTTTTTGTTTTCTCCTGATGTAAACACACTGAAAATATGTACAATTTTATTTTAGTTGAAAAACATTGCAAATTTCCTGACAATAAATAAAAATCAACAGAAAATTCATTGTACTAGAACAAAATGCTAACTTAATCTGTAACTTGTCATGATAAAACTATACACCATTTATTAAATCAATATCTTTAAGCATAACAAAAAAAGTGCGAAAAACTGATTATTTAAGTGAATTTTCTAAGTCCAAGGACCATAACTCTGCACAAAATCATCAGAAAAGAACAAAATTCGAACTTGATCTGTAACTTGTCATGATAAACAATATACCAAATATCAAATCAATATCTTCAAGCACGAATAAAAAAAGTGTGGAAAACTGATTTGCTGGACTGACGGATGGACAGACAGACAGACAGACAGCGTCTTCGTCAGTAAGGGACTAAAAATTGCAGCTGATGAATACTTATGTCCATGCATTGTACTTTCATGACTTTAAAAAATATAAAGTAATTAATTACTTTTCATTTCTTAAAAAAACAGGACTAGATGTAAAATCAACACATCATGAATAAAATAAGATATGGGTTATACATCAATGAGACAGTAACCAACAACAAAAACAACCTAAAAATATCTAAAGGTCAACAAGAGATAGATGTCTTTAAAATAAACAAAAAAATAAATTAGTTCTATCCATTCCTTACCTGCAATTTTTATCTCTGCATCAGTAGCGACCTCAATTTTCCTTGTATTGTTCGCCACTTGTTCATCTTTATCTAATGCCAGGTAATCATACATACAGCCACGATTTGTTCCACACAGTGCTCCAGCATCAGTTATGTCAGAACTACTAAATGAATCTGTGAAGACTGGAACAAAACTTGTATTCTTGTAGTAATCAGATGAAAATCCTGGGGTATACTGAAATATAGTTGTGCTTTCGTTTGTTCTCCCTGAATAAAACAAAGAAGCAAAACTGTCTTGAATAAACTTTTTGTTCATTTTTATCCTGAAATGGTTATTTTCCAGGATAACATGAAATTGTCACAATGTTCAACTCATCTCTTTATATTCTCACACAAGATAAAATAGATGTTGTTTGGGTTGCTGTCTTATTGATGTACATACCAACATTTCCTTTTAGTCATACTAAAGGCAATCTTGATCTTTATACAATGAATAAGGATTTCAGCAACCACTTAGATGAAGAACAGCAATAAAAGTACAAATCCTCTGATGTATGACTATTTCCTAGTATTTAATGCAAGTGTCTCATGGACGTTCATACAGAATTGTTTCTATCCAATCTTTGTTACTTGTTATTACTGTTTTATAACATTACAATGTCATATATAACATACATATATATGTATGCAAATCTAAATCTATTAATGTAGATTCATTATAATTTGTGGTTTACAAGTTTTTGTTGATTTCATAGGTAAAGGTAAACCACAAATCTAAATGTTCCAATGACGTAAAAGTTTTATATATTTGTAAACAGACTTTTGCAAAACTTGAAATCAAATTTTCTCAAAAATATAATTTTTCCACTATCTAAAAAAATTAGTACCCCAAAAAATAAATGAATCCACAGTGTATTAAATAATTTACTGTATTTGCCGTTATTATTTCACTGCTATTTCTTTGTGAGCTCAATATTGTACATGTCTGTTATAGTATGACAGGAATTAGTCAGATTTCTAAGATCTATGATCACTGAACAGATATCAACAAATATTTTTCTTTCTCAGGTCTCATTACTAACAGTCGTGACAATCAAACTAGATTGATAACTCTACACTGTTCAAAAGTACCAGTTATGTTCAAATGAGTCATTTTCGAAGTGTTATAGCTTAAATACACAGGCACATGCATTTTTGGAATGATTTGAGTGACAGCAAACACATGTTTTATGGGTGTTGACTATATATGTATGTTCTGTAATATAATAATAATAAATATAATAAAATCTTCTTTTGTTTAAAAAACAGTTGTACAATCTGTATTTGGCAATTCAAAATCCAATATTAACTGATAAATATCAAAATTAAATACTTTATTACAAATTACTCATTTCTTTTCATAGCATTGCATAACATAAACTGGAATCTGTTTGTATTTACCGGAATGAAAAAAGTATATAAATCAGTGGGGAACCAGATTTTGTATAAACTACAAAATGTAATAGGTTATTCGTTCTGTGTTGGTTATTCATTCTAGACAGACACACTGAGCGTAACAGTCTGCAGGAAGACATGTCACCCTACCTAAACACATTATTCCGACTCCAAGCCAACCAGTCTTTGCTTTTTACTCAAAATGGTGTGTACTTAGCCAAGAAGCAGCAAATACCAATTTTGAAGTCTTTGGTTTGACTAGGCCGGGGTTCAATCCCACAACCTCCCTCACTCAAGGCGAGTACGCTACCACCAATGCATTGACTAGGCTTAAGGCAATTTAGAGTTTGACATATTGTATACACACTTGTCTGTTGTCGATGACTGTATTTGACATCAAGATATCTTTTGGTTTGCTTTGTCATTAACATACACCCAAAATCTTTGTCAAATAATATTCAGAAAGCAGAAATATTTGGACTGGGAAATAATTCAAACAGTGGCTTATACTACAGCTGTAAGTCGTAGTTCTGTTATTATTTCAAATATCATCACAGACTTACAAAACTCTCCAAACTTATAATAAATGTCAGATTCAGTTGAGTTAGATGGAATTGTTGTACCATCTGGAAGTTCAAAGTCATCCTCTTTATTTCCATTCACATTTCCCAGAAGACCACTGAATCCAGAACTTCCTTTCAATTTCTCTGGTAGGAGTATTTTGTTGTCTAACATTTTCACTGCCAATGAAACTTCCAGTGCAATTCCTGTTAAATGTATATTATGTATGAATAAAGACAAAATACTTGATGAAAGCATTCCTGCAAACTTTATCTATAAATACAAAACACTGTTTACTTGGAAAATTTTGAACTAAATCTTATTATTTTGTAAGAAATTAACAAACTCATTTTGTGAAGACAAAGTATAGTTAGTAATAAAATCAAAAATTTACTCCAGAAAACAGTACATGTAAATTAACTGTAGATGTGAAAGTTTTAGGTTCATATCAAATATAAAATTGACAAAATATCAATTTGTACATAAATGCAAACAACTAACCTTGATGAAATCCCCCTATATGCTACATACATACCTGAAGTCGTAAACACTGCTTTTAATGAATTACTGCCTAGTCTTTCCACAACTATATTGTCTTGTCTTTCTAGGAAATTTGTATCATTGTAGAAAACCAGAGTAAAATCTCTGTCATTTATTCTTATTATAAGTCCTGAAATATATGCAACTATCAATTAATTGTATTGAAAATTAACTTTGGCCTAACTTAGGAAGTTGATGTTGTTCAGTTCAGGCCCCTTCTGATGCTCCCTAATAATCTGTGTTTTAAGTTGCATTTTTTTTTTCTTAAGTGTATTTGTTGAAATTATTCTATAACATGTCATGCCCACAGGAATCGCAATAATATGTTTACATTCCATCAACTGGCATGAATTTAACATGCTTTCTTGAACATCGGATAAATGAAACACCTCTGAAGACATTTTTTTAGCACGTTCTTCTTTTTAATCTGATTTCTTTTTGAAATGTAAAGGTCACCATGATAAATGTTTTGCTAAAAACATTGGCTTGTAAAACAAATATTGCTCTTTGTAATGATAGTCAACAAAAGCATTATTGATTTCATTGTCCACTAAAAAAACAAGCTAACCTAACTTCATTGTATCTTTTACATAAGATAAATGAGCTGTAATTTGAAGGGTTATCAGTGAACTTCTTATTCTAATAAATTAAAAGATTTGGGATTGTTTATTTGAAAATAATATTTTTTCAATTGAGTTCCATTTTCAATATAATTTGTGAAAGTGATCAAATCCCACACAAAGTTACATGAAGCTGAAAGCTAAAATATTTAAGAAGGCATGTACAAGTTAAGGAATTATAAAGATCTTTGAAAAGCCAGAGTAAATTACAAATGTATTAAAGCCAGAGTAAATTACAAATGTATTATACACTGCTAAGTCTAAAATTATTTAATTTCATCAATATCAGACTTTACCATCACGATTAGAATCCATTTCTACTTGAAATTTCCCATTGCTGGTGACATCCAATGCAGCGAATCCACCAAAAATCGTAGCTGATATAGGTTTTTCATTCTTATCCAAAGCTTGTATAGTCCTTGTTTGAAGTTTAAATATCTCGTTTGCAGTACTGCTGTGGACATTCAATAACATGTATTCTCCTATTCCATTATAAGTGTAATCAAATCCATCCAGAGTTTTGAAATGTGGATCACCAGCCATTAAACCTATAAAAACATTTTTATTATAAGCTTTTTTTCTGTTAACATGGTAAAGTCAAGTATATAATTTTTTACAAGGTTTGCCGGTTTTTCCGGCCAAAGGTCGTGGTTCTCTACTGCTTCCTCCACCAATAAAAACTGGCCTCCACGAAATAGCCAAAAATGCTGAAAGTGGCATTAAAAAAAAAAAAAAAATCAATTAATCAATCAAGTATATTTTTTTATGTCTTTATTAAGTTAAACTGGGGAATGGATGAGCATAGCATTAATTATAACTCACACTTTTAAAAATCTTATTGCATTGTTTGTATTCAATATCTTTTAATTTTACTTATAGATAATAGATATGCATTTTGAAATTAAGATGTGCCTGTATTGCTCATCTGGTGAACAAATAGCCAGTCTACTAGAGGACCTTCATATGCATATTCTAGATATTCTTTGTGTTGTTGATCTTTTTTTTACAATTCACATGTTTACTAACTTTAACCTAACTCCTAGAGTTTATGATATAATGGCAAAAACTGCAAAAAACAATAATAAACTATTGACAAAGAGATATTTCTCACCTGTCAGCAGAAATATTAAAAGTTTAATTTAATGATGAGTTGTTTTTATATACTAATTAGCTTGTAACTAATTGCATATAAATGATAAATAAATGTACATGTATACAGTGCTTAAATGGACATTCATAACAAGAAACAAAAAAAGGATAAAAAGGATAAACACTTCATAGCCGAAAAGGAGCAGGGAAATAATGGGACTATCTCTTCATCGCAAATTGGAATTAATTAAAGATTCAGAGGCAATTTCAAATTATTCAAAAAATGATCTTAGTTTGAAATATGGGATCGGTAAAAGCTACTGTTTGTGACAATCCCAAACGTAAAGAAATACACCAGGTTCAATGTTTTCGTAATTTGAGATTCCCTTTAGAGACCCCATTGAATGCAAATGAGAGTGAAGACCCGGGTGATGACATTCAGGTATCCAATTTAGTACAATATAATTGTCTGGGGTTCAACAGTTCGAAGGACCACAGAGTGCAGATAAAGGAAACCCAATTTTCATGAAAATTAAACTACGGAATAGGAATTTGACAGGGATTGGGAATCTGACTTGAACAGTAAATTTATGGGGGAAAACGTAATTGAATCAGATGACGATGTAGACTTGCGGGAAGATGACTTTAATACAAGGATCGTACATAAACCATACCAACATTTTTTATTTGTTAATAAGGAGCTGACTGATGAACTTGAGTTTGATTTCTATGTCTGCATTTAAAAAAAAATGTTTCATATATTTATTTTATTATCTTTTACATTGAAATCAACATGGCACAATTGTCGTCTGTTGTGTCACTTGGTGAGTGTTGTTAGTCAGTTTCAAAATGCTTTTTAACTACCCACTTCCATTTACCTCTACAATCTGACAACCTGTGAAAACCGAACAAAAAACCAAGTCCCGAGGGTGTTCAATTGGACAGCTTTCACTGTATATTTAGTTTTTCCATTTATAAATAATTGATTTCTATATTAAATGATTTGTTGTGAGACAAATTATTCACATTTAATGATCAACTGGAAAAGAAAGAATATGGGATGGATGAACACAACACAATACTTCCATGAAAATCAATTATAATTTTATTTTTGGTAAAGTAAACTTGACGGAACTTCCTTACTTGGCATTTTTGACACAGCAACTTATTTCTACCCCTGATCAGGAACATATATACTAACAGGACTTGACACTACCTAATTATAGCCGATTTTATCGTCCGGTCATAGTTAATAAATGACACGATGCGGAAACAGACATGTGTAAAATACGTACTCGCTATTATCTTAATAATTTCTGATAATATCAATTAAATGTCATTCAAACTAAGTAATAAGTGATGCCAGTGTATCAAACTTGTAATCTGTCACTTCAAATTTGTCATAGTCGCATTCATTTCATCACAGAGGGGTATATACAGAATGCAAATGGGGTAATCAAAAATGGCGCTGATGGCATTCCCAGTAACCGCGAATTTCACAAACCATTATAAAACACTTCACATCAAATAAATCACACTTATATGGGTCATTTTATATGACAAAATATATCTACTTTATGATAAAACTTATCAATTCATTGTATTAGTTGAACGTTTGGAATTATGTGGTTAATTTATTGAGCAGTTCAATCAGTTGCTTCCAAAATCCATAAATCTCGCGAAGTCTCGTAAAGTTCGAGATTTTATCAAATTTATACTGAAAAGCCTATCAGATTCATTTCCCGTTAGATATACTGTTCCCAGCCCTGATAAACAATTCATATTATCAATTATAGTTAAATACATGGAATAGTATTTGCAGCATTAAATTTTTATTTTTGAGAATATAAGAAATAACTTTCACTTGACTTTGATCTTATTTTACACAAACTTGTTTTCTAACAACGATTCATTTTTGGGTTTGTTTTTAGTCATCATGCTTCAAAGCAAACAGCATTAACATTTTAATCTCTTACCAAGATCTGGAGCTGTGTAACCAGAACAACTGCTTGAAACTCTCTTTTCGAAAAACTTTTCACATAGACTTCCCAGAACACAGCAATTGTCGAAAGGATCAATATCATATTCCTGATTATTAAATGTATTATTCAGTGGATGATACAACATCAAGTAGCCGCTGTCAGCTGTGTTAAACAACAGAGATGAAGTTTCTTGAGAGTAGCAGCATTTCTGTAATTGAACAAAAAATTGCATGTAGCAAAAAATCCATCCAAATTAGGCCTAAAAGTTAAGGGATGAAGAATTCAATCCAACACTAAATTTTATTTTATTCAACAAATATTTATTTTTCCAAGTTTAGAATATTAACAAGAATATGTGTAGACAGAGAACCATGCCCTTTCACACTTTCAGTGAGCTGGGTAGAATTCTCATTTAGCATAATGTTTTTAAATTTCACATTGGTACTTAGAGTCAAGTTAATGAGACCACAACTTCATGGTAAATTACCTTAAACCTAAACATTAATCCTATACCTGATGAACAAAATAATGGGCCAACAGACAGAATGACCAAAAAACATAAGGCTCCCAATTATTGTCATAATCTTAGGGCATAAATCTATTGATTTTAACTTAATGTGACTGATTGACTGTCAACTGTTATACTTTAGGGAACAAATATATGCAAATATAGAGGCAAGTATGCGAAAACAAACATCTATGCAGTTTAGTTCAAAAGAATTCTTTAGTATACTGTATAGAGCAGTTTTTAAAAAAAAATGCATCATGATTACAAAACTTTAACCATGTGTGGTTCAAATTTATTTTGTAATCATGATACAAATGTTGCAAGTTACACAATATTTTTATCCTATTGTTCTGATGATTGCAAATTTGTGAGTTCTATGGATAGTTAAATATGAAAAGGATATAAACATGATAAGTCAACCAACCATGATTGACCCATTAACCTGATATCAAGATATGTCCCAGGTTAGGGGAGGGTTGGCCTCTTTAAACTAGTTTAACCCCGCCACATTCTGTATGTGCCTGTCCAAAGTCAGGAGCCTTTAATTCAGTGGTTGTGGTTTGTTGCTGTGTAACATATTTGTTTTTCATTCATTATTCTGTACATAAATTAGGCCGTTAGTTTTCTCGTTTGAGTTGTTTTACATTTGTCATTTCGGGACCTTTTATAGCTGACTATGCGGAATAGGCTTTGCTCATTATTGAAGGCCATACAGTGACCTATAGTTGTTAATTTCTGTGTCATTTGGTTCCTTGTGGAGAGTAACAAAGTGTCTCATTGGCAATCATACATTTTCTTATTTTTATACATGCATTCAGAATTTCTACAACACTGTCATGCAGAACAGCAAGATGACTGTTAAGAATCACTCTTGATGGTGTGGAGTGAACCGATTTGAAATAAAGTGACAGGTTATTTGCTGGTTTATGTAAGACACTCTGATTTATGACCTTGACCTATTGAAAGAGGTATTTCAGAGTGAATCACCAACAATCCCAAACATTCACTGTGAAAACTTACCACCAAGATTACTTTTTAATAGAATCACTTTGATTTCACTAGAGTATATTTCACTTACCCTTGCACCTGTAGAAATTAGAGGAGCATACTGTGTATAAAAACAATATGTTCCATTTTCCTGGTAGTATTGTGGATCTTTTTTAGCCTGTGGCAGGTTACATGGGCATTCTATCAACAGTCCATCATAAGAATTCAGTGTACTCTCATAAGTTGGAGCTACAGTTGATAGCCATTCATAACATAACTTGTCATAGTTTACACTTGTATCAGTACAAGTGTCTACCCGATACATCCATAGACCATTTATTGGTGTCTCTAAAAGAAAGAAAAAATACAAACTATGTATCCAAGTTTTAGATAAATTAATATAATATATACAATGTGTATGTATACAGATTACATTTTGGGGTTTTAAATGAATATCTTACAAATGTATGTTACAATTGACCTCTAGATAATTTATATTTGGTTTGTTTTTTTTGGGTTTTTCCCTCCTTTTGATGTTTGGTTGACATATACCAAGACCCTGTTCTGTTTTCATTAAGTCAAAAACAACTTAACCACAATTTGGATGTATCATGATATCCTGTACACAAATAACCCTTCTCATATTTTTCACTCTTCTTTGGTTCAAAAGTAAAAATAACAATGATTCAATTCCTTATTCTGACTTTTTAAATTAAAGTGGATCTGTTTTAATAAAAAATATCTGTACTCTCAGTATAACTTCAAAATCTTCAATGTGTACTTTGTTTTTCGCCTTTTCCTTTATGTATTGTACATTGTACCCTTTTACTTACTGCTGTTACTGGAGCTAACAATTTCAGATGGGAAATTTAAATCAAATGATGCAGGATGGTTGTAATAGCCATCATTTTCACTACATTGCCAGGAGGCAGAAATGGACCTGGCTGTATTGGAGGTCCAATAGATATTTCCATAAATGAAAGCAGTGTATGTACTGATTCCATCAGATACCACCAATAACTGTACTGTTGCATTCTGTTGATAAAAATTACAAATTGTTATAGCCAGTATTTGGCTAATTCTTCCTTTGCATAAAAATTAAATATAATTGAATATAAAAATAAGAAGATGTGGTATGATTGCCAATGAGACAACTTTCCACCAGAGACCAAATGACATAGATGACTTTTTTGTGTTTAATGCCACATCAGTCCATTTACTATGCCATTTTCAAAAGTTTGATTGATACATGAACAACTGTACCACTGATGATAGCACTGTATTATAAAGTAACAATAATATAGATAAGGTTGTTTGTATTTTAGGATCTGATAGTTTAAATCTAATAAACTGGTTTAAGATAAATCTAATGAGGGCTATTCCTGACATATTACAGGCTATAGACATTGGAAAATAAAAAAAGAATGTGTCCATGTGACACAAATGCCCCAGCTTATAAATATGCAAGTCAATGTACTTAAGTTCATACCTATTGACGTTTTGTATTCTTTGAAAGTTAATGACTTTGTTTCTGTATGTTGTCATTAGAGATTGCTCAGGGGTTTGAGAGCTCTCATTGTTCAATAACTAACAGTAATGGGGTACATTAGTAACTTGAGAATGCTGAAAGTGATGCCACCCAAATTCAGACTTGATCTGATTGGTGATTCATAACATTTGTTTGAGGCAAAGTAAAGTTAGAGTATGGAACGACAAATTTAGCAATATTTCCATTTATAAAGGGACATAACTCAAGAATGGTGAAAGTGACACCAGTGACCACCCAAATTCGACATTGATCTGTCATAACAATTGGTTGAGGCAAACTAAAGATAGAGAATGGAAACCAATTTCAGGATGTACATGTACGTAGGGATAAGGGTAAAGGCAGATTCCTTATAAGAAAGTTAAAAAATTCCCATAAGTATCTTTGGCATTAATCAACACCAATGAACTTCTGTTTTGGAATACAAGTTATACTTATATAAATACTTTTTGACAAAAAATAAATCTATTCACATCATATTTTTTAAATAAAGGACATGTTAAATATAATGTTGCTATCATAAGAAAAAGGACAGACATTTTAACAGAAAATTCTTATGTTAGCAACACGAACAATCCTGATATCTTCAGTATTTTCAAGGTTTGGATGTATATCTTGCTTAAAAATGAAAGGCAAATTGATATAAAATATTTTTTAACATCTGTACCAATAAAAAAGGAATTGTAATAGCTTTTAAAAAAGATTATCTTGGAATTGCTAACATAAGACTTGACAGACATGAACAGTGCTGCTAAAGTAAGATTTGTCAAAAATGAACATTGTTGCTAACATAAGATTTGACGGACTTTATTGCTGCTAACATAAGATTTGACAGACTAAATAGTGTTGCTAACACAAGATTTTGACAGACTTGATGCTAATTATATATAACATAAGATAAATTTGGCAGACAATATATATATTTGGATTTTTTAACTAACATTAGAGATCTTATCCCAGTTGATAGTCTTTTTTAAAACTCCTGGAAAATACCGCAGTCTGACATTTAAGATTTCACCCCAGGACCGATAACTCTAATTTGTAGCATATCCAAATGTTGCTAACACAAGACAACAAGTTTGACAGAACTTATGTTAGCAACATATTTGTTAAAACTATTGATTAAATAAAGTTATTGAAAGATCCAACATGTGTTTGTTTAATGTACATTATGAGAACAGTTTTATAACAGGCTTATATAAGTACCTACAATAATGTGGCAAGATTTTACCAACATGTTGCTATCAGAAGATTTATTGACAGACAAGCAGCTATAAAGCAAGGTATTTGAAATTTTAATAAGTGTGCTTTGCCGAGCGCAGCTGGATACGACCGCAGAGGTCCAACCCTGAACAGTTGGGGGAAGATTTCTTGCTGTTGTGCAATACACTGTGCTGTTGCGCAATACTTGGTAAATCTGTTTTCAGACTTCTGTAAATACAGAAATTATTGCGATGTTTTTATTATTGCGAAAAATGCGACAGGGTTATAATCGCAATAATTTAAACTCGCATTTTGAAATATTTTATATGAATTAAACAGGATTTTTGTCAATATCGCAAAAATTAGAATCGCATTTTAGTCTAAAATGACAAAATCGCAATAATAAATGCACGCAATAATTTCTGAATTTACAGTATATATAAAGAATTAGTAAAACAAAATGGTAAACCCCAATTTTTTTTTTTGGAAAATTGATAATTTCTTAAATCTTGAGGGAAAAAATTGACCACCCCCCTAATTTTTTTTCTTTTGGTAAAATGTGCTAAAATCTAAGAAACATCCATACACTTAAACACAAGTTATTGTCTGAAAACTAGAAAAATGCTTGTTTTGGCCCCTAATTCCTGAACGGTTTGGGCAATTACCCCCAAAATGAATCCCAACCTTCTACTTGTGGTACAATTTCAGAGCAATCAAAATACTTATACACAAGTTATTGTCCTGTAACTAGAAAAATGCTTGTTTTGGGCCCCTTTTTGGCCCTTAATTCCTAAACGGTTGGGACCATCACCCCCAAAAACAATCCCAACCTTCCTTTTGTGGTATTGAACCTTTTGGTTAAATTTCATAGAGATCCATACACTTAAACTTAAGTTATTGTCCTGAAACCAAATGTCTTTGGACGACGTCAACGTGAACGCAAATTTATTTGCGGTTGTATTAAAAAATTATATCACAGTTGTTTTTGACTAAAAAAAAGCAATAGATTTGGAAACAGGGATGTTTGAATAATCAAACTACACTAATAAAAACCATTATACCAGTGTCATCATAACCTTGTGTCAAAAAGGGGAAGTAATTCTGACAAAAATTTAGCATTTTTGCAACTTGTTTTGATCATTTCTACTTTAAATGGAAACAATCATACCCAATAATTGGTCTTCTTGCTTCATTTAACATTATTATACATTAGAATATTCACAAATTATCATTTAAATAACAGTTAGTATTATTTTTATTTATTTGTTCATTTTGACAAACATTTCCTTTTGTTTTATGGAATCTGCCTAAACCTTACTGCCCACGCCACTTGGCAGGGCATAAAAACAAATGTGAAGAAGATGTTAAACTTCTGTGAGCAACTATAATTAGGACTTAAGCTTTAACACGTTTAAGGGTCATATATCTGAAATATGTAAAAAGGCATCAAGACTATTAAATATTCTAAAACAAATGGGCAAATTTCCTAAAATATGACTGAAACTCATGATGCTTTTAACTTTTAAATGTCATTGATTTGAAAAGCTCACTATAGTTTACTGAATATCTACTCAAAATAAAACTTTGAATTGAATTAATTTCAACTCCAACATACAAGTTTTCCTTGAAAAAAACTTGACCTGATCAACATCGACTTTGCCGTGAACCGTATAAAAGTGCTAATACTTTTTTCATTATGGATATGATTGACTTCTTATTTGAAACCAGGTCGCATTATAACGTTTTTTTTTATACTTATCATAAACAAATTGGAAAACAATATTTCAAAGGTAATCAAAACTTTAATTATATGGAAAATTGCATCATGAAATTAGCACTCTCAAAGTTTTTTGCAGTTTCATATCGGTCATGACATTAGTCAGTACAAAGTTGACGTTGGCCAGGTCAAGTTTTCTAACTCTTAAAATTATTTTTTTTAATTTTTTTTCATGTATTTATTATAGAAATGTTGTCATCATGCTTGGTTCCAAATTTGAAGTAGATCCTTATCATAATAAAAAAAGTATTTAGCATTTTCATATCGGTCAAACATTAGTCAGTACAAAGTCAAAGTTGGTCAGGTCAAGTCTTCTAACTCTTAAAAATATTTTTTTCAATTTTTTTCTTGTATTTATTAAATAAATGCTGTCATCTTGCTTGATTCCAAATTTAAAGTAAATCCTTCCCGTAATAAAAAAGTAATTAGCATTTTCATATCGGTCAGGACAATCGTCAGGACATAAAAGTGAAACCCCAATTCACTAAATTGTCGTGAATTGAATGAAGTTAATCTCGGATCAACCGGTGTAACTCATTCATAAAATACACCTCGCGTAGACCGAATAATCTGTCTCTTGTGTGGCTACTTTTGTCATTTCATATTTTCTTTTTATCATACCGTGTGGACACAAAAAAAAAAAAAAAAAAATTATAAATAGCCAAATGATAAAAAGAAAATATGAAATGACAAAAGTAGCCACTGTGACAAGAGACAGATTATTCGGTCTACAACTCGCGCAGCTTCAACTGCAGATTTATATACCTTATTAAGTGTATTTCATGTTCAAATAAAATGCTTCGCTGGGGCGCAGCTTGATACGACCGCAGAGGTCGAACCCTGAACAGTTGGGGCAAGTATGGACACAACATTCAAGCTTAATACAGCACTGAATTTGGATTGTAATTAAATATTTGACACAGCATAGGTTTCTGACACAGAATGAATGTGGTCTAAGAACTTAAAAATTTTGAATTTATCTATTCAAACCATCCCTTACAGAAATGAAAAGTTTGCTGCAACATTGCAACAATATAGCTGCAATATTGCGGCAAACAAATTTGTTTGCAAGAAGTGTTTGCAAGAAAGTTGCAGGTTGTTGCAGCTACCTGCAACATTCTCACAATGTTACTGCAACAAAATTTGTTTGCAAGAAAATTGCAGCAAGTTTGCTGCAATGTTGCAAGAAAGAGTTTGTTTGCTAGAATGTTGCAGGAACCTTTTCTTTTATTGTTTAAGGAATAACTATTTGCAACAACTTTGCAAGAAACATTTCTTTAAAAACGTCAGACATGATAGTTTGCACCAATATTTCAAACATATTAAAATATTACGTATGATTATTTTTTAAGATTTAAGGTTCATTACGCCACGTTTCTTTGAATATTTGGATACTTGTAATTATCTACATTTACTATCGTCATACTTCATTTTACTCATAAATATCAGGATATTTGAATAATTCATTTTAAAAAAATCTTCAAATAACAATGCTTATAAACATGCAAT